GGGCTCTCTGCTCAGCAGGGAGCCTGATGCGGGACTCGATCCCAGGACTCTGGGATCATGACCTGAGCCGAAGGCAGAGGCTTTAACCACTGAGCCACCCAGGCGCCCTACACTTTGCCTTTTTAAGGAAAGTTAAGAACAGCCTGTTTTAGAAATCTATATGCTTCATGGATATCTATTCTACATATGAAACCATGAAGGCCAGAAATGATATTCCTACCGGGAGCCTGAGAAAAGACAAAAATACCCCTCACCTCTCCCTGGCTATTATTTGGGATTTCTCTCCCTCTTCACACTGTATTGTTGCCCAGGATTACTTCTTGCCTGTCAACCTCAGTGCCAACTGCTAAAACTGTGCATAGGAGTAGACAGGCTTTGGGGGACCTGGCTGGCCTCTGTCGGTTGAGCAACCGAATATTGATTTCAGCTCAGATCATGATCTCAGGGTCACAAGGTGGAGCGCCACGTTGGGCTCCACGCTCAGCACAGTCTGCTAGAGATTCTCTCTCCTCCTCCCCGCCACCCCTACCCCCGCTTGTGCACATGCATTCTCTGTCTCTGTCTCTAGAATAGATAAATTAAAATCTGAAGGGAAAATAAAAGAGTCAACAGGCTTATAGGGAGGGAGGAGGTGTTTTCCCATTAGTAAAGATGGATCTGACTATATTAACTCTGTTTTTTGTTCTGAGATATTCTGGCTTATCTCCCAGTTCTAGGCTGGACTCTGGATAGCTAAGATGGCCAGAATAGCCACTCTGGATGTTATACTACAGTATCAACTACTTTAAAATATGATGCAGTGGGACGCCTGGGTGGCTCAGTTGGTTAAGCAGCTGCCTTCGGCTCAGGTCATGATCCCAGCGTCCTGGGATCAAGTCCCACATCGGGCTCCTTGGTCTGTGGGGAGCCTGCTTCTCCCTCTGCCTCTGCCTGCCACTCTGTCTGCCTGTGCTCGCTCTCTCTCTCTCTTTCTGACAAATAAATAAATAAATAAAATCTTAAAAAAAAAATATGATGCAGTAAGTCAGTCTTTCCATTCCAACAATGAGTACACTCTAGAAATATTCTCGTCCCAAAAGAAATGGAACCACCACTATCAAGGAGAAACAGACTGCCCTTAGGCAAGTGACAATTTAGGAAGAGCGACTCACTGTGTTACCATAGCAAGGCTTGTTCACGTTTTTGTACGTTATCAAGCTGCATTTCTCTCAAATATACACAATATGGTGAATGAGATCTCTTGTTCAAGAAAAAAAAAATCAAGGTAAGTTCAATGAATGACTTAGACCAAGTTAGACTGTGATGCTCAAAGGAGAAGGGTATCATAGCAGCATTAACATGAGGAGCAGTGGGAACAAAAGAACACTGCGATTCAAACTGGTAATTCTGAAACTCTCTCAAACTTCAAAATAGCATTATCAAAGTAGGGATGACTTGATGAAGGCTTGTCTAAAGTCTGAAGTTCAACATCCCAATTTTACCTGTTAATTCTTTAAAAACAAAAACAGAAACTACAACTGTTTTCAGGTTTCTACATATACCTTACCCAAACAAGCTCTACTCAAACTGACTATCCAAAAGACAGAAACAATGTTGTTAATACTACCTATCCCACATTTGGATTTAGTTTTGGTCTGACCTACCTAATTTTGATAGAACTATGTTAATCTGTAATTGATTCTTTTTTTTTTTTTAAGATTTTTATTTATTTATTTGACAGAGAGAGAGAGAGAGCGAGAGAGGGAACACAAGCAGGGGGAGTGGGAGAGGGAGAAGCAGGCTTCCCGCCGAGCGGGTAGCCTGATGTGGAGCCCGATCCCAGGACCCTGGGATCACGACCTGAGCTGAAGGCAGACACTTAATGACTGAGCCACCCAGGCGCCCCCGTAGTTGATTCTCTTTTAAATCATCACCACTCCATTATGCAACATCCAATAGGAAAAACAATTTCTTCTCTACCTACTTAGTCTCACAATTGAGATGCTATTCGCATGGCTTATGAAAGCCTCACTTGAAAACTGTCCAAGCCGGTAACTACAAGCTGTACCTGTGCTCCCAGGTTAATGTATAGGAGAGCTGGTCTACAGTCACATGGAAAAAGAATGCAGCAAAGTTTCTCAGTGAAGGAAGTGGAGGGGAGACATGTGGTAAGTCATACTGAAGTTAGAGGACATCCATGATAAAAACTGCTGCAGCTAACAGTAACAAGTCACAGTGTGCCCGGCACTGCTCTCGGTGCTCCTGGTGTTTTCTCCCGTTTAATGAGGTAGTATTCGTAGGCCTATTTTTACAGATGAGGAAACTGAGGGGCAGGGGTTAAAGTCACACCGACAGAAGGTGACATTAATCAAGATGTCCGGGGGCGCCTTGGTGGTTCAGTGGAAGCCGCTGCCTTCAGCTCAGGTCATGATCTCAGGGTCCTTGGATCGAGCCCCGCATCGGGCTCTCTGCTCGGCAGGGAGCCTGCTTCCCTCTCACTCTCTCTGCCTGCCTCTCTGCCTACTTGTGATCCCTCTCTGTCAAATAAATAAGTAAAATATTAAAAAAACAAAAAACAAAAAACACAAGATGTCCTATTTCTAGAGTCCAACCTCTTAGTCACTAATGTTAAAACTCTCATTCAATAAATAAGGCAATGGATGTAAATGAAAACATTTATAGCTTTAAAAACATTGTTTTTACTACTGGTTTAAAAATAATGAAGTTATTTTTACCATAGGGCACAGAAGCACTAAAACCTCGATACAACCCTGCCAGCAGGGTGAAAACTGCACCCCTGCACAGGTTAGGAGCACCGACGGATGTAAAACCCTTCTGTGACTTCCAGCAATAAACACCAGAGTTGGAATCCGATAGAACGGCTCTATTCTAAATTCGCAGTGTTATGGTGATGCACCACTTTATTCCAAGTAGAGCACTAGGTGGTTTTATGAAGTACACATCGACACCCCTCACATCTAGATTCTGGGCAGTCCTCTTTGGGCAGCTGAGAGTATAAAGTCTATGTTACTAAATTTTTTTTTTTTTTAAAAAGGTCCTTACTCCCCAGACAGATCCTGCTGATGAGACTTAATACTTGATATAACTCTCCCTAAATTTTTACTACATATGACTCAAAGAAGATAAAAAAGGACAAACAACTGGCACATCATTTTAGCCTCTGACTACCATTATGTTTTTTGGTGGTAGCATAAAGGGTGTCCCTCCATTTCTCTCCTTTCACCCTGAACGTACGTCAGGTGGCACAGAGGTTAAAAACATAAGCTTTGGAGTCAGATTCTATGTAGGCCTAGATCCTGGCTCCCCTCTCCCTGCTAAGGGCTGCCCAGTGCCAGGCAAGTAGCCGCTTTCCGGGGCTACAGCTTCCACATCTGTGGAATGGGAGCTGCCCCCAACCCTAAGGCTGACCGTGAAGACTGAGTAAGCCAGCACACACCAAGTGCTCAACCAAGTGCTGTGATATGATAACAAGAGACAGTGAAGATGGCATTCCTATCAGAAGAACACAGTGAAAGATACACAACCGAAGGTGAGGCATTTAGTGACCCAGCAGATTTTTTCTTTTACATGATATTTAATATAAATGCTGAACTTGAGATAAACCATTACAGATAATGACAAATCATTTTCCTTATCAACAATCTCTCTTAAGAAAGCAAGCAAGCTAAAAAGTGTATCCAGAATTCTTTGAAATCTCAAATCTCCAATTAGAGAAAAGGAGAGTAAGAACAAATCAAAATACTCACCATGGATCGAACGCTGGTTGTCTTTTTGAGTGGTTGGTTCCAGAACTGCTCTCTGATGGTAGCGAAGAAACTCTGGTTGATACATTATTTTCATGGAAAGAATTGTCTGGACGAGGAGATGGCACTAAATAAAGAAAAAGTCAGTCACTGATGTACTTTTTGGCCGAAGTAGTTCTTAACTGGTTATACTGCATTTTCTCTCACACAAATAAAACAAACAAGTAAATCAAAACCTTCCTCTGCCCTTTATATAACTTTTGTGTTTTCTGAGGGTGGAGGCATTCCAGGGAACATTCTCCCTCCCCCCACTGATTATCACATTAATTTGCAAGGGTCAGTTAACATCAGGCAGTATATATTCAAAGTATAAATTGACTTGTCAGTTGATAAAATGAAGAACATTTTAGAATATTTAAAAGTATGAATAGGACAGACCCCCTTCACCGTTTTGGCATTCTCTGAAACAGGCTTTCTTACAACATAGACTCAACTATGCAAAATCTATTCTCGGTGAATAGATTTTCTGAAGTGACTCTTTTAACAATATGTGTGCTAGAATATATTAACTGTGCTGTAAGCCTTATACTTTGGAGGCACAGAGTCAATTTTGTATTTTTTTAAACTACATTCCAAAGAAATTAGGTTATTTGCAAAAAAAAAAAAAACAAAAAAACAAAAACAAAAAAAAAAACCAAAAACATTTTTCTTTAAGTTCTCAATCTAGGAAAGAACAGAAAGATAACCACAACATAAGTGGGTAAATACCTTTTTTGCTCTTTGCTGTTACTATCTTCTTCTGTCACTTTCTTCTTCTTCTTTTTTTTTTTTTTTTAAAGATTTTATTTATTTGACAGAGAGAGAGAGTGAGCCTAAGCAGGGGAGCAGCAGGAGGACAGAGAGGGAGAAGCAGGCTCCCTGCTGAGCAGGGAGTCCCACTCGGGGCTCGATCCCAAGACCCTGGGATCTTGACCTGAGCCGAAGGCAGATGCTTAACAGACTGAGTTACCCAGGTGCCCCTTTCTGTCACTTTCTAAGCTCAATCATAAATCAAAATATATTGTAAATTTCATCACAAAAGGAATATACATATACAGGCTGAGTATCAAGTTAAATGACACCATTTCATTTGCCTCTTGACCAGTAGGACTAAAACCAGGAAGTATTCTGGAAATATCTGTCATTTCAATGATAACACTAAATCTTTACCCAGTTGGATTTAGAAGAATCACTGAAATGACAGATGTCTCCAGATGTTTCACCTGGTTAAATCTCTTCCTTCTATTTCTGGACTTTCTAAAATAAAAATGTTCTACCTGCCAAACCCTGAAGTGTATTATGAGGAAGACAAATGAGGGGCTTTGCTGATACAAACTAATTTAATTCAGTTGCAATCAAAACAAAATTGTCTTTCTTAATTAATCAAAACTTTGTTAACATTTTGTGTTAAAGTATGTACTCCAGATCTCTATAGGAACAACACAGGTATGGTCCATTTTGGAAGTAAAACTTACAGTGACAGAAAAAAGACATTTGCTCATATACACTACAATATTTTACCTAACTTTAATCTGAATTAAAATTTTAGTCCCTTAAGATTCTAAAGTAACCACAGCATGAGAAAAAACCGGATGCATTAAAAGGCATACTCAATGCCCTATGTTTTTTTCAAATGGGGCTGAGAAGGAACTAGTAGCCTAAATCAATACATATTTAGTCCTAAATAATACTTCTATACATTTATTTAGCTCAGGTTCCTAGTTAAGATGACCAAGCAGCTGCCCATGTTCTCCCCCACTTCCTGTCCCTTTCCAGCTGTCTCCCCAAATCAACAGAAGAGCGAAAAGTCAAGGGATGTGGGCGAGGGTGACTGCAGAAGGTCATGACAACTCTTAGGAGGCTTTAAGAGGCTGAGCCTATGAAACACCCAGGACCCTGCCCCTACCCTGGTGGGCTTGCTGTTAGTCTCCCTACCAGGGGACAGAGTTCTGGAGGGGCTCTCCTTCTATTGCTACATAGCTCTTCAAAGGGGATGCCCTTCTCTGTCAACACCTCCTAAATCCATACAGCCTCCAAAGCCTCTGTTTTAGTTGTCGGTTAACCATCGAAGTACATTTTTAGGGCTGTGCAAGCACACTTGACGATTTTCTTTCATTCAGTCAACAAATATTTATGCAACTCTCAGGCAGTGTGCTAGTCAATGAAGGTAAAAGAGGAAAACATGATCAAGGGCCTTGCAACCTTGTGAGAGAAAAATGCAGACAAAGAATCAACACCATGCAGTCTGTGTCATGTTAGAGGGCTAGACAAGGAACCATGGTTAGAACAGAGAAGAAAACATGTCACTTTGGGTGGAGAAGGACGATATCATGCAGAGGACTTCAAAGTGGAACCTTAAATGGGACAGAAACAAGCTAGCCAAGCGGGGGAGGAGTGTGTTTCAGGAAGGAAGAGCAGCAGCTGGAGAGGATGGCACAGGCCAGGGCATGGAATATCTGGAAAGTCATCTTGGGGAATCCGGATTTTGTTGTGATGTCAATGGGAAACCACCAGAGGATTGTCAGCAGGTGAGAGATGGAGGACTGGGGGCAGGCAGTGGGTTGCCTTGCTCTGTTTTTGCCTTGTAGCATTTATTATCTTTTACCACTCTATATAATTTTTATATTTAGTGTATAGTCTTCTCATTGTGAGAATGTGAGCTCTGTGAAGGTGGAGCCCTCTGGCTGTCTTGTTCACTGACATGTTCTAAGTTAGACCAGCACTAGGCACACAGGTGACATCAATAAATACTTTAGGACTTAACTGAATGAATGAGTGGGATGGCCAGAACACAGCTTCAAAATTATCATTCCAGAGACTGGTTTGATGGCAACCCTGGGAAATAGAGATCAGCTGGGAAGCTACTCGAAGAACCCAAGTCAGAAGTCATGAGGGCCTCAACTAAGAAAGTAGGACCCAAAGCAGGGAGAAGTGCTGGAAGGCGACAGCACAGACAAGGATGGCGCTGACCTGAAGTCAAGGCAGGAAGTGTAGTGGAAGGCATGGGCTGGAGGTACAGTGAAAGGAGAGAGGGAGAGAGAGAGAGAGAGAGAGAGAAAGAGAGAGAGAGAGAGAGAGGACACTGGTGGGCGCACGGGGCTGGGCTTACCTCGGTAGAAACTACCAACTCTCCTTGGAACAGGGTCATTGTACAGGTGTCTATTTTCTTTGGGGGCGGTGCCGTCATCAGAGTGGGGGTCATGATACGCTCCACCCTGAGACAAGAAAGAGGTTTATAAAAAAACAGTAGAGCAATGACGATGTGGCCTATGAACTTAGAATAGTGTGTAACTGATCCAGAATTTACTCCAGGATCTTTTTTTTTTTAAATAGATTTTATTTAGGGGGTGCCTGGGTGGCTCAGTGGGTTAAGCCGCTGCCTTCGGCTCAGGTCATGATCCCAGGTCCTGGGTTCAAGCCCCGCATCGGGCTTTCTGCTCAGCAGGGAGCCTGCTTCCTCCTCTCTCTCTGCCTGCCTCTCTGACTGCTTGTGATTTCTCTCTGTCAAATAAATAAATAAAATAAAATAAAAAAAAAAAAAGATTTTATTTACTTGACAGAGAGACACAGTGAGAGAGGGAACACAAGCACGGGGAGTGGGAGAGGGAGAAGCAGGCCCTCTACAGAGCAGGGAGCCTGATTCAGGGCTCGATCTCAGGACCCTGGGATCATGACCTGAGCTAAATAAAGGCAGACCCTTAATGACTGAGCCACTGAGGCACTCCTATTCCAGGATCTTTTAAAGAGAAAACTCAGAAAAATGGCATGAGGAAAACTAATTAACTTCTTATTAAGCCAGTTTAAGTTATTTGTGGGAGACTAGGTATGAAGAAATTTTAAAAGATAGGCTGTAATGATGTCACATGACCACTCTTTATAGACAAGTTTTATCATAAAAGTTAGCAACTTGTGGAGAATTCAGACCTCAGACTTCTGCCTTGCGTGGAATGAAGTGGTGCCTTCTCTGGAAGATTCTTTACCGGAAGATCGAGCCACAGTCATCTCTGGAGGGAGCTGTTCTCCAGGCTGGAAGTCAAATTTAAAAGGATTTATAAGAGTGTCCTGTTCCTAGGGATGAAAAGCACCTAAATCACCATGGGCTTTATTTGGCATAATTAGTACCTTCACCAGCTAAAATAAAAAATGTTAGTTGGCTAAAACACAAATTGTCCCATAAAAGAGTGAATCATCTGATGAATGTGAAATAATTCAAACAAATGTCACACAGATGGAAAGTGAAATTCTCATTAAAGTTAAGGCAAGCAGGGAAAGAATTACCCTGAAAATAGTTCAATTAATTATTAACAACAAAGAAAATTATCTTCCTAATATCTAGATAGTCATGGTTCTGTGCGGCACTCTAATTAGATTCTATTAGTTAATCCAAAATTTCTCTAGCAGATTTTTCCAAAAAGAACTATGAAGATCCAAAATTATTTTCCATTAAGAACTTAAATGGCAGATTCAGATGAAATCAAATGTTCTTTGGGTAGATCATGGAAGAGAATCAGTACACTTTATCATTTGTCTTAAAATTCCCTAACTGCTGTAGTTATATGTACTTAAAGTTTTCTTAATCTCCTCCAGTACTTGTATTTCATGTATTTTCTTTTCTTCTTTTTTTTTTTTTTTTAAAGATTTTATTTATTTATTTGACAGACAGAGATCACAAGCAGGCAGAGAGGCAGGCAGAGAGAGAGGAGGAAGCAGGCTCCTTGCTGAGCAGAGAGCCCGATGCGGGGCTCGATCCCAGGACCCTGAGATCATGACCTGAGCCGAAGGCAGTGGCTTAACCCACTGAGCCACCCAGGCGCCCTATTTCATGTATTTTCTTAATCATGATCAGGACAGTACACATCTCACGAGACACTGCCTATCCCTCAAGGAGGTGAGACACAAGCTAAGAGCAGCCTTGGTCCACAAGGGTGTTCACTGAGGGAAAAAGTGGCATCTTCTACCCTCGAGGAAAACAAGATTAAGGAACAAAACTACCAAGCCTTACTTAGATTTACAGAGTCGTATCTTGAGCCTTACGTGATGTATCAAAAACATTTTATTTAAACTTTAAATAGGATTTGCTCTTTGTATCCCTCACTCCCTAAATGTACTATGAAAGAATATTCTGGACAGGAAATCATCCAGGGTAGCCTTTCTTCTTCCTAATTTGTGATAAGATCTCATTTGAATTTTAGCATCTGTATACTTTACAAAGCCCTCTAGAAAAGTCTCTCAGAAAACAAATGATTTATACCTAACTTAAACTCTTAAGTGAAAGTGCCAGTTCGGTCCCCTTCCTCTTGAAGGTGGCCACCATATTTTGTAAGGGAGTGATTCTCATCATTTACTCATGGCTTTAGTCACTGCCATCTTTGTGCCTTTAAACTTATACTATCTTGCAGCTTGGAACTGTACCTCCTGAACTGGACTTAAAATTCTCTAACAGTTGGGTCTGTGCTTAGCCCACAGTAACCATTTATAATTAGATTGTCTCCACCATGTTCACAGTGTGTTTTCTGGAACTCTGAGAACCAGTCCATTTGTCCTTTCTCCAAGTTATAGCTTTTCATTTTTCTTACATCTCCTCTATTTACACTACACTGCATGTTAGCACGCTCTACCTGGTTTTGACCTCCATCTAATGCCTACGGGCAGCTGCCAGGCTCTAGAGATCTTTCTGGGCCCTAGGGCTTCTCTCTTCTCTAGAGGGACTCCTCCAACCACTGTTTTGACTCCAATCATGGCATCTCCGCCATGTGCCATTGCCTCGACCCGCAAGTATGCATCTCCCACTCTTCCTCCTCTTACCTGGGCACCGACCAGTCTTTCCAACCTCATCGAGGGTAGCTCTGTTTAGGAGCCCAGGGTCACTTCAGCCTCAACAGGTCAGCATGATACAGTGCAAAGAACGCTGGCCTAGGGACCTAGACACTGCCTCATGATCCCAGCTCCACCTTGGACTATTTGGGTAAACTGGGGCAACCCACCTAACTTCTTAGATCCTTAGCACACTCATCTACAAAATGACTTTCGGCAAAAGTGACCTCAAACCTTGCATTTTTCACGGCAGCAACAAGGAACAAGTTGCAATCCCCACAGCACCCCATGCTGTTTAATGTCTCTATTAGCCTCCTCCTCTTTTCTGCCCTTCTTTCCAGTCCTTCCTCAGGTCGACTCCACTTTCTCCCCCTAGTTAAGCCCCAGAAATGCCTTCTCAGACGCCACCTCCCCAGGGAAGCTTCCACACCCCCGGCCCAGACTGGGCCATGCCTCTCTGTCTATGGCACAGCGGCCTCAAGCACGGCATGGGCACACAGCCTCACGGTACCACCACGACCGATCCCTGGCACGTGTGCCCCAACATGCACTCAAGAGTACAGGGGCTACACCTTTTTCATCTTTCATCTTTCTCAGGAGAGCCCACCATGGGGCTTCACTCGGTAAATACCGAACACATCCTCATTCGTTAACCATCCAAAACTTCTCTCTACATCCTAGCTCAGAGCAAGAGCTTCAGCTGCTCCCAAAGCCATTTCTAACAGCTCCATTCCTGATCTTTCCCTGTTCTCAACCCCTATTTATAGCCAGTGCCACAGTAATTTGCTTCTTAATTATTTCACTGTTATCATGTATAATTTAATGTTCCCTGAGAGAAGAGAAGTTTGTCAAGGGCAAGAACCCTACCTCAGACTCTTTCGAGTGTTCTGAGAACACCTAGCACAGAGAGAGTGTTAAAAATCGCGGAAACAGTCCCCACCATCACAGAAGCAGCAATAATTAAAATGTGCTGGACACTCTCTGCCAGGCACGGGGCATGGTGCTTTATGTGCCATGTTGGAAGCTTATGACACGACTCAGATGAGGAATCTGACGTGAACAGGGATTATGTCACTTTCCCAAATTTACATCATTTGAAGCAGACTATAGAACTAGGACACAAACCCAGGTCAGCCTGGTTTCCCAACCTGAGCTCTTAGCTACTTTGCTACACTGACTGCTCTGCTACTGGCAACCTCCACCCCATCTTCAGCACCCAGCTTGCTAAACCTCCCATTACGTATTCCATCCATATTTTCTGGAGTTCTGACACAGAACTGTCTGATGAACCTATTTTCATTATCTTCGAAAAGGGGAGTACTTCCCCTTACATCAAACTCTTCTCTCCTTCTGACACTGGCTTATCTCCACTCTCATTTCTTTGATGCAGATGAATGTTTCATATCATGAAAATATAATTTAAAAAACATGTGTTCTGCTGTAGGAATGCTACTTCTTTTAAACAGGTTACTGTCAGCAGTTCTAGAGTTTGAAAAATCAGTAAGACGGAGGAAGCATGAGGATAAAAATATTGCCTTGAGATTTAAAAACAATCCAAAAGACTGCAAATTAACGTTTATTTTGGCCTGAAGTTAAATTTGCCGATAGTTCTAGAAAAATCAGAAATTTTTCAATTCAGTGAAAATATCGAGTAAGGTATAAGTAAAAGGGTCTGATTTGAGCAAATGTGGTCTGGAAAGATTCGAGAAAATCTCCATAAATCACGCTAAATTTTGAGAAAATTAAAAACTACCCCATATAACTGATGAACTCTGTAATAAATCAAAATAGGATCTTTCAACAAAATATGCCAGAAAGGAATACTTAAGAAGCAGATTTCTAAAAACAAGGTTTTTTGAGTTCTCTTGAATACTCAACAGTGGGCCTTAAATAATTTTTTTTAACAGATAGTCCTTCAAGTATTGCTTCCCTAAAAAAAAAAAAAGAAAAAAAAAAAGCACAACCTCCTACAGTAGGGAAAATTGCAGACTGTCCCTATCCACACCCCTCCATCACCTTCCCATGATGAGCCAACAGATCCAGTCAAAGGTCCGAGCTGTACCTGAGGTGATAAGAGCTGGAGGCTATTGGCCCTGGCCGCCATTCCTTGCCCTACGCTCAAGCTTCCATCCAAGCCTTTGGCTCTCACTTTGTCCCGGGTCACGTACATGGAATGCCTATGTGGACGCTGCTGGGAAGAGAAGGGGCTAGTGTAGCCCAGCCCGTAAGAAAAGGATTCATGAGGTGCAGAGAGAGAATGGGAATGGCTGCTGTCCATGTGCTCAGGCAGCTTCAACTCCTCCATGGTTTTAGAATGCCTGGTTGTGGTTCGGCGTGAGTCCAGAGTGCCCTCACTTCGATTATTTCTCCCCGAGGGGCTGAGCAAAGTTCTCGTGTCACTGTGCCTGGTGGGGGTTGGGCTGGTGGGAGAGTTCAAGTCCAAGCAGCTGGATGGGAAGTACCTACTGGTATTGGACTCTGCAATTTGGGCCCTGGCTTCAGAAAGGTTGCTCACAGACTTGGAGTCACTCAACGCCCCATGGCTTTTGGCCTTGGTCCTGTAGGAGGGACTCCTAGAGGACTGGGGAATAGTGTCAATGTAGCTATGCCGACTCTGCTTTTCAGTGGGCTGCAGTGTCCCAGCTTTGCTCTGAGAGCTTTCCATGAATGAGTGCCGGTTCTGCTGAGATCTGCTGCTTGACTTGAGGTACTTTGTGCCCGGGCCTTCCGAAGGCTTTGGGTCAATATTGAAATCAAACTCTGTCTTTGACTTGGCTTCTTTTGGGCTGAGAAGATGTGGTATGTTATTGTTGGTAAGATCTTTGCTGGTAGAACCAGGCTGGCTGCTTGCTTGGTAGGTTTTGGTGTGCATGGGACTAAGAGTAGCTCCAGCAAGATTTCCGTTTAGGAAGCTTTCATTGGCAGGAAGACCTTCGTCAGCCCGAGGCAGACCCACACCTAGGTTCTGGATGTCCTTGCTGTTGGATCTGTGGTGAGACTGCAAAGCAGCACTTTTGCTGGCTTGGTTTCTATGTAAAAACAAAAGAAGGGTATCGGTTTCCTTCAATAGCAGACACACAAAAAGTATTATTTAAAAAAAGACACACACATTCACATACCCCTAAAACACCTGAAAGAGTAAAAATAGTTACACATTCAAACATGTGCCAACAAATAACAAGTAACCATAAAGAATAAGCTGCTTAGATCAAGTCACTTTGCAACAAAGCAATGGTCCGGACTGAAATGATTTTGACATCCTTAAATGTTCAAGTAACTTGTTGCCAACACGGTTTCTTAACGGATAATCTGGGAAAACATGTTTTTGCTATGCTGGTGCTCACATGAGTGTTTGTTATGGAATGCCTGAGAAGAAGAGGAGAGCTAAGCTGTAACGAACTCCTGGTAACTCTTTGAATGCTTCATGTCAGAGGCAACATGTAGACTTGAAGGCCATGATATTCACTGCACTTCTCTTTTATTTGTAAAACTCACTGTCTGCTTCAGAGATACATACTCACAGCACATACAGACACCAGTATCCTTTTGTCTGTATCTGTATCATCAAAGAATGAGAGTTCTTGCAATATACTCAATAAAAGAAAATGACGCTCTAAAACCAAACATAAACTATGTTGGATGATCAATGTTTATGTTCTGGAGAAGTGGCAATACTTCTACGGTATTTCAGATGCCTCCTTGTACCCTAAACAGGAATGTGTCTCTAACTGGATCCCAGGGATCTAGAGAGTTAATTTCTCTTCAGAAGACACAATTTATTCTCTTCTTCATCATCTCACACGTCATCATTCCAAACCGACTAAGGCTTTCTTTAGGATTTAAAGCTTCATTTCCTATCTGGCTTAAAATAAAAAATATAAATCCAGAGGAAAACCTTGTCCTCTATTGGAAAGCTGAAACACCTCACAGCAAGGTCAGTTTGCTCAACTGCAACTATATGAAGGACCAAACTATACTTTGAGATAGGAGAATGTTTTTAAATGAAAAATAATCTACATAATAAAAAGATCCCTTTTTATTATGCATTCAGAAAATTCTGCTGCAAATATCGCTATTGCTGAAGATGGTTTGACATGGAGGAGTTTTGTTCCCATCAGACACTAACTGGAAAGAAAGTCACATTTTTTTGCCTTTTTAACAGTAATCTGTGAAACTATGCCTTTCCATTTTTCCTGAGAATCCACTCCTCAGACAACAAAGGTAAGGGCTCTTTTCCCATCCTCCTATCCTGCAGAATATTAAAAAAAGTATCTGACACCAAGCAAGCCTGTAACAGTTGTGGAAGGCCTCATCTTCTAAATGCAGTCACTAATCTCTCCTAGTTTAGTCACAACTGCAGCCTCAAATAAGGTCCCTTAAATATGAGCTAACTAAATAAATAGCAGGTCCTAGATCTAGAAAGGAATGCAAAGAAACAAAAGTTTTGGGGCGCCTGGGTGGCTCAGTCAGTTAAGTGTCAGACTCTTGATTTTGGAGCAGGCAGTGGCCCTCAATGGTGAGAACCAGCCCCACATGGGGGTTCTGCGCTCAGCAGGGAGTCTGCCTCTTTCCCTCTCCCTCTTCCCTTTCCCCCACTTGTGTGCGTTCTCTCTCTAAATAAATAAATGAATGATAAATAAAATTTAAAAAAAAAAATAAAAAAGAAACAAAAGTTTCATCTTCTGTTAAATGATATCAACTGACCCTAACCCCGGATCAATAAAGGGCAGTCATCATACCCTAAGGCATCAGGTTGCTTTTTTCTGTTTGTTGGTTTGTTTGCTTGTTTTTTAAAGAGAGAGAGAGCACGCTGGCAAGATGGCAGTGGAGAGGGGGCAGAGGGAGAAGATCTTAAGCAGACTCTGCTCTGAGCATGCGGTGGAGCTCAACAGGACTACCCTGAAATCAGGACCTGAGCCAAAATCAAGAGCCGACAGGCTTAATGGACTGAGCCACCCAGGTGCCCTAAAGGGATCAGGTTTTAAACCATCAGAGTCATTTGTCAACTTATATCTCGTTAACTAAAATATCTAAGCAACTTTTCAAAAACCCAAACAAAAATATGGGAATAGTCTCACCCATAAATAGACCTAAGTGTGCTGGTTATCTCCCATTTCCCGAACCCCCAATCTGTCCTCCATTTTGCCCTGCCCGACTCAGGGCCTCAGGAGTCCAGTGCTGCATACTGCATCACTCGGGATCTCTTGCCACCGAACTCCCAGTTGCACTTAGTGGTGCAAGGGGCTGGGGGCTGTCTTCCCTACCCCTTCCCAGCATGCACCCTAACTCAGGTCACAGCTCTGTCTGTCCAGATTACAGCTCTCACAGGGTGGCTCCTCCTGCCTGGTTCCCCTGGGCTCTCATATTCCTACTTCCTCCCCTTTCTCCTTCAGGTCTAGAGAGGGGTTAATAGCAGAGATAACACATGCAGATATTGCGTAATGCCTGAAGCTCCAAAGAAAACCAGGAAAGGACAGAGAAGAGTGAAGACAGCTGCTAAAGCTTCTGAAACCCTTGGAAGATATGGACCTCAAAGGAGAGCACAAAGCTGCATGTTAGAAAGAACAAATTCATAGCAACGTAAGTTACAGTTTCTAATGTGAAAAGGGAGGTTATAACGTTAAGGTAGAAACATTTATCAAAGAGTTCGGTTACCCATAAAAGTACAAAGAGCCTAAAATGCTATTCTGAACGCTTCTGTCTTGGTATTAATTTGAAGCCATTGAGCTTTGCACATAATTCTTTAGTAGAAAGGACATCAAATTGTCTTCAAATTGGAGTTCTGCCAAAGCACAACAATAAGAAACTGCTCCGAAAATTCCATAGATCTCTTTGGCACACAACTGTAAGGAATCTGTGTTAAACTGCCAACCACTTAAAGAGGATTTTATATATAAACCCGTCTGAAATGGCGGGCAGAACAGTTAATCTCTTTAGTTAAAATGACTTTTTAAAGGTCCAAGGTCAGGAGAACCTCAGGACAGGCTGAAGGAGACGCAGGCAGGGCAACGTAATGCCAAGAGTCCACTGCCTCTTCTACAGACACATGAACTTGGACAAGAGAAGACATGGTATGTGAATGTGTCTCAGGGACAAGGCGGCAGAGTATATAAGTGGCAGCTGTGATGCCGGGAAGCCCGAGTTAGCCGTGGTGTGTGTAGAGTTAGTGTCCCCAGTAAGAAGGGATTCCAGAGAGGAAATACGAGCCACAGACAAGTGTAGAGAAAAAGACATTTCCATGTACATGTGAACTCAGCTGAGATTGTTCCTAAAGAAACCACTTAAGACTTTTCCTTTTAAAATTCTACATGGTGTTAAGACCTAAACACAGATTCTTTCATAGGTTTTATTTACATATCATTTCTATTCTTGTCTACTTCAAAAGAAGATTTGGGTGGACTCCTTAATGACCCATATAAATTACAGCCTATCACCACACAAATCCTCCTTGACAGATTCCCAAAGAGGGTTCCCAGGGAGAGCCTCAAACACCCACTGGGGATATCTCAAGCCAAGTCATTAGAAGATAGATACAAAGGTCCCCTTTCATGATATGGGTTGTACCACTAATCACTACAGCATGAAGCAAAAAATTATCATCAGTCTACTGAACTTTATATCCTTGGGATCCTTTTCCTTTGCAAATGTGAACTAGAGGAGTCAAGTGATAATTAAGGCAGAACAGAGACAAAAGTACCTGAACTGGGGAGTGATCCCAGATAAGACAGAGGCATAATGTGAACTTCCTAAATGGAAAGGAGTAACTACATGATGACTATTATTCCTTAGTGTACTAAAATCTCATGGAAACGGACAACAAAGGGAACACAAACTTGGTTAAGCAGAATTTGAATCTGCTCACAGGCCTCCTGGGTGGTGGGGTGGGGGGGGAAACAAACAAACAAACAAAAAAATCCCCAAACAAATAAAACAATCCAGCTAAGAATGGTCTATAACATATGTAAACCAATCACTCAGAAGACAGTAAAGAGCAGTAAAACACAATCACACCATCGCAGTTAGGCAGAGAAAACCAGGATAAATGGTTATTGTCAGTTTATGGATATGCTCACATATCTTGAAAAAGTACTAGGTCTCGGGTTTTCAAAATTCCAATAGATTAATAACAATTACGTTATGTGGAGAGAAAATTGCAGTGAAAGGAGAAAAAGTTTATATTCAGAAAACTTCACATTAAGAATGACCATTTTCTATTTATCTTTTAAGAGCAGATGAACGAAACAACTTACTAATCCCAGAGGCTGAGCAATATCAGATGACAAGACCAGCTTCTTGGTAGAGAAGGGAAGACAGTCCCCCACCCCAGAAGTAGAGGGTTTTTTTTAAGATTATGCTAAAAATTTTTATTTTAAGAAACACCAATTTTAATCACTATCTACCAAACTGACTTTACTATTTCCATATTGTTATTCTTACGAAAAACTAACTTCTCAACTCAATGATTAAAAAAACAAAAACATACGAGCTTTCTAATAAAGCCAAACCTACTTGGTTCAGTTGCAAAGATTGTCCTAGGTGGCTTCTTCCCCACTTGTGTTCAGCATCCTCTTCTCCCTCCAGAAATCCCCTTGCCCTCACCCACCCTTTTGCCTCCAAGCATCACACCTGGGCCCCATTTACGCAGGATCTTCTCATTCATGAGACTAGAAACCCCCTTAGTTGCTAACCTATGCTACCTTTCCCAGGAAATGCATAGGTTTCCATAATATATTATTAAAGATAAGAAAGTCTTTAAGACCCACACAACTCTTTAATTATGGTTCTGAATCATGTAATAAGCATAAGGAAGATATTTTTGAATAGAGGGCTTTCCTTCTTTTCTTTAATTGCATCATTTAAGCAGCCACCTCCTCCACCTACTTGTAAGACCAACACTGCATCTGTATTTCCTTAAAAGGGAATATTTACCTATTAGACAAAGTGCTGCTTTCCACGTGGTAAGGTTTTCTTTTTGCTGACCTTGAAGGGGAGCGATCCAAAAGTCTCTGGGTTTGAAATGTAGGGTGATTCAAACATTGTTCTGTCAAGTATCTGTCAGCTGGGTCCAACTTCAGTAAATTCTTAGGAAACAAAGTTAGGATCGGAAAGAACATTACAAAGTCAAATTTAAATTGTAATAAAAACCTTATTTCTTTTCCTTATAAAGGAAATGCATGGTCTTTGCAAACTATCTAGCAAACACAGTTTAGTCCAAAAAAACTTTTTAAAGAGGGTTATTTAAATTACCACATTATTGGGATGCCTGGGTGACTTGGTTAAATGTCTAAATTTGGCTTAGGTCTTAGGATCCTCGGATGGAGCCCTGTGTCAGGTTCCATGATCAGCGGGGGGGTCTGCTTCTCTTTCTCCCTCTGCCCCTCCCCCACTCGTGCTAGCTCACTCATTCTCTTTCTCTCAAATAGATAAAATTTTTTTTTTTTTTAAAGATTTTATTTAGTTATTTGACAGACAGAGATCACAAGTACACAGAGAGGCAGGCAGAGAGAGAGAGAGGAAGGGAAGCAGGCTCTCTGCTGAGCAGAGAGCCCGATGTGGGGCTCGATCCCAGGACCCTGAGACCATGACCTGAGCCGAAGGCAGAGGCTTAACCCACTGAGCCACCCAGGCACCCCTCAAATAGATAAAATCTTAAAAAAAAATTTTTTTTAATAAAAAAATAAATAAATTACCACATTATCTGACTGCTGTTGCCCTCTGGGGATAAGCTCTCCCAGCCCTTTTCTGAATATCATATGTATATATACATATTTTGTTTTATAAAATCTGACTTTATGTTATATGTGGAAGTTGTGGATCCTGCATTTTTCACATACCAGTCAAAAACATTTTTTACAACATAACAGACATTTGAAATGTATCTTGGAAGAAGTATATATTCACCTGAAACAATATACACTCATCTTTCTCCTGCCCCCTCTCGGAAGGCAGCCCATATTGTTGCGCATCCTTCCATAGATATTCTGTACCTATCTCTGTCTGTTGCTTTTATTTTATTTTCTTTTTTAATTTTAATTTTTATTTATTTTTATTTTTTAATTTTTTTTTATTTTTAAAGATTTTATTTATTTATTTATTTGACAGAGAAAGATCACAAGTAGGCAGAGAGGCAGGCAGAGAGAGAGACAGAGAAGCAGGCTCCCTGCTGAGCAGAGAGCCCGATGTGGGAATCGATCCCAGGACCCCAAGATCATGACCTGAGCTGAAAGCAGCAGCTTAACCCACTGAGCCGCCCAGGAGCCCCTGTTGCTTTTATTTTACCCAAATAGTAGCAGACAGGCTATGGTCTGCACTTAACTTTCTTTCCAATGGACATTAGTTCTTAGGAGATCATTGCATATCGGTGAAGAGCTTTTACTCTATGGATATGCCTCAGGTTGTTTTTAGCAATTCTCTAATGACAAACATTTTGGTTGTTTCCTTTATGTTATTATTATGAAAATGATGCAACAAATAACTTCACAACATGTTCTTAAATGACTTAGGAAGTGTGTGGGATGGTCTACTGTTAGACATTTAGATGGCTGCTACTTTTCACTATTATAATTAATGCTATGATAAATACCAGAAATCCTTGCATGCATACATGATCCCTTTCATAGGATAAACAACCAGAGATAGATTGTTAATTATGCAAACTTTTGAGGATTATTTTCTATGTGTTGAAAAATCATGCCCTAGGAAGTTTGTCTGAAATGATACTCCTTCTCAGCAACTGAGAATCTACCAATTTCCTGATATCTTCATCAACAACAGGCATTATCATTTTTTTAACTACTTGTAAACTACAGACATTTAATAAATGGTATCTCATAGCTGTTTTAATTCACATCTGTAATTACTAATGAGGTTGAGTATTTTTATGCTTATTGGTTTCTTGCAGTCCTTCTTTTCTTATTTTCCTATTCGTGTATCTGTCCTAATTTTTTTTTAAAGATTTACTTTAGGGTGGGGGCAGAGGGAAAGGGAGAGAGAGAATCATCAAGCAGACTACTACTTGCTGAGCGAGGAGCCAGACTGGGGCTGGATCCCAGGACTCTGAGATCATGCCCTGAGCCAAAATCAAGACTTGGATGCCCAACCGACTGAACCACCCAGGTGCCTCTGTGCTAATTTATTTTTAAGTATTCTTTATATATTATGGTAACTAACCCTTTCATGTTGCACATAGAAGATGTTTTAACAACTAAAATGTTTAATATTTTCTTCTAATACTATTTATCTTATTAGTAATTGGATAAGATTTTTAAAAGTGAATCATTAAAGTAACTTTTATTGAAAAATTAAGCAAATATATAAAACATAAACCTACATAACCTAACACAACTCAGTAGAGCACACTGGAATCTGCTGAGATGATATTCTCACAGCAAAATTCACTGATGGCATTTTCTCTCAGAGAAAGGAAGAATGTTGAAATTCCAGCATTCCCAAATCTATCTCTAGGTCACTTTCATTGGTTATACCCACAGTTAATCTCTTTGTGATCCACTTGGACAGTGAGAACAAACCTAGATTCGCTCCCAGTAAGCCAGAATTCAATTTCAGACAACCTCTTTTAACCCAGCACCACAGAAAATTTGAAGTCTTATTCTACCATATGCTGAAACATTCACTTTGGGTCAAAAGATTCTGGTAACCCAAGCCACTGTTTATATGCAAGTGGATTTACATTCATGTTGACTCAGATACAATTCTAAACTTATTACAGTTCTTGCCTCCTCCTCTTTAGAAAATAAAAAACTGTGGAGGTATATAAAAATGATTTTGGTTTCAGTGGCCAACTAGTTAACATCAAAATGGTTTCAAATGTATGATACTAGTTAAAAACAGCAAAGCTGGCTCCTGAGTAGTATTTTAAATTGGAAGTACATATGACGTTTTACAAGCCAAATATCTACTAGCATCGAAGTGCTATTTTAAGATTATCAACTGTAGAAATTACTGCATATACACACAAAGAACTATTTTTATATACATAAATATAGCTGTTAATTTTCAAATTACTTAAAAGGAGGAGGTCATTATGAGGAAAGTATAAAACTCACCAAGTAAACAGCTTCAAAATTCAGCATTTCAGGGGGAAAAAAACACTTTTTAAAAACTAAAATAGAGTCCATATAAATTACCGTGGGTTGGATCAATTCTGGTAACCTGCATCCCCTCGAAAATGGCTAATATGTATAAACAGATGCAGGATGAGATGGCTATTTTAGGTACTTATATATGGACAAAATTAACAAATCTGCTTTAGGGAATGGCATAGAGAATATATTTCTTCATGAGAGGATAAATAATGTTCTTTACTTTTCAAATTCATTTTGAAAATGGCTAAAAGACAAAAGGAATAATTCTATTTATGTAACAATAACAAGGCAATATTAATCTTTGGTGATAGAACTCAGAATTATGGTTTCCAGGAGTGGGGAGGCATATGGGGTGGAGAGCCAGGGAGGGGCTCTTGAAGAGGCTTCTTGGGTGTTAATAATTTTCTCTATCTCAGTCTTGATGTGGTTACATTGATATGTTTACATTCTAAAAACTAACTGAAATGTATACATAATTTGCATATCTTATGAATATACATTTCAATAAAAATGTTTACTTAATGTTAAAGAGGTTTGAAGCTAAATATTCTAAATAGGAATTAGTTTAATTTCCAAATTGGTATCAATACTGAAAGATTCTCATTATCTTTGTACTTTTATCTGTTCTAGATTTTACCAGGTACCATATTGACCCTTGGTAATTAGAATTGGTAATGATTTAACTAAAAAAAGTTCAGTTATTTTTTTAAAAAGACAAAAGGCAAAAACCATGAAATTGTATTTAATTCAGTTTTTTTCACTTTATTTATATTTTTAAGTTACCAAATCATTAAGCCCTGATAAATACTGATTGTGTGACAGAACATATTGACAGAATCCAACTGAATCAAGAGATAATTTATGCCTAATTAATAAGAAAGACCCTTGAGGGTTATCTTTTTAATAGCATCTCTCAATCTATGTTCAGAACACTGGTAGTATAGTTATTTTTTTAATTTTATTTTAATTTTTCAGTGTTCCAAGATTCATTGTTCCAAGATTCATTGTTTATGCACCACACCCAGTGCTCCATGTAATACGTGCCCTCCTTAGTACCCACCACCAGGCTCACCTAACGCCCCACCCCACTCCCTTCCAAAACCCTGTTTTTCAGAGTCCACAGACTTTTTTTTAAAATAGTACTCAGTATTTAATTAAATTTGGGAAATGCTGAGCAAGACATAAATGCTTCTTTACCTGGGATTTCCGAAAGCCTTCCTAAATTAATGAATATTGTGATTCTCTACAAAAGGTTGTGTGGCATGTGGCCTTTCTAAAAGCCGTGCCCAATCCCACACCATTACCCTGACACCAATTTGCACAGTGTTCCTCAGGACACAGAGGAACATAGTTTAAAGCACAATGAAGTTCTGAAAGTGCTCTCAGCAATTTCCAACTGTGCTAAGTGTACCTTTAAGACTATGTGTATAATGTAACCAGCCCTGATTTTGAACAATAAACTAAATGGACATACAATAAAACTGATCCATTAACAAGTGTTTTTTGGAAGGTCTACTGTCAAACAACCAGCACCAGCTTATGCACTGGCTGGCTGCAATGAAAGCCAGAGAAACAGGAAAAACTGGTTCTCCCTCAAGCGGCTGTCCATCTAATGGGGAGGAAGAGCTTGAATAGAAAACTGTGAGAATGTTTCTGGTAGTGCAGAGCAGGAGAACTTTCTGGATAGGGACAGGAGCATGAGGAGGCATGCTCAGGTGTGGTAGAAGCAGTGATTCTGCTGTGGCAAAAAAAAAGAGAGACCCAGAAAAAGCCCCACCCTCAGGGAGAGAAGAGGCCAAATTAGAAAAAGGGCAGAACTAGGTTCACTTACAAAATAATCTTAAGAGAGGCCTTAACTGTCACGTTAAAAAAAAAGTTAGAACCTTTCTTCTTTCAACATTCATTTTAAGATCTGTTTTGAAACGTTATACCTAAGCAGCTCTTTATCGCTGAATTTTTAAGTTATTTATTACTTATATTTAAATCATTATTATTCTACCCACTTTAGGAACATAACTGAGGTATCTCATGGTCCTGTCTACATGGAATGTTACAAAACTAGGTACTGTGGCTATTTTGATTAAACCGCATGCTTTTAACATAACACAGTCCCCCATTATTCACTATAACACATCTATTAACGAAATACAAAGCAGGCTTTGGTCACATGTAAACAGAAAAAAAAAATCCACAAACCAAAAAAGACATTTTATACAGACAACATCAACTTGTCCCACCTTCATTAAGTCAAGTAAGACGCTATTTAGAATTCCAAGGTATCTTCTCTCCAATGTCTGAGGGTGGTTAACAGCTGGAAACTGTAAGAACAGACAGGAGTGTCAGCACGTGGGAAAGGGGAGTTCTATGAGTGCTATGAGTTCTGGAAAAGGTAGCAAAGGAACAGAAGTTACTGCCCTAGTGCCAGAGTCAAATTCATTTCATGTGTCTATTAGTTTCATGTCTATGTATTTGAGGTACAGATTAATAGGACTAGGTATCAAATAACAGGAAAATGTATAGATAAGAGAGGATATTAAATCTAGCCAATGAAGCATGTAAAACAAACCTAACTGTAAAGATTTGAGACTGTACAGTTTACAGGGTACTGTCTGTTCATATAGACACTTCAGTTATAATATAGTTTATACAGAATTTGTCTGCTTACATAGATAATTCCTAAGGCTTTTTCACAATGTCATTTACTCTTGAAAATTAGAAAATGGAAAAAAAAAAAAAAGAGAGAGAGAGAGAGAGTGAGAGAAGGGGCGCCTGGGTGGCTCAGCCAGTTAAACAGCTGCCTTCAGCTCAGGTCATGATCCCAGGGTCCTGGGATCCAGCTCTGTGTCAGGCTCCCTGCTCCTTGGAGAGCCTGCATTTCCCTCTCCCTCTCCCTCTGCCCCCGCCACCACCTCCCCCACCCCGGCCCCCCGCTCATGCTCTCTCTCTCTCTAGCTCAAATAAGTAAATAAAAATCTTAAAAAGACAGAGAGAGAGAGAGAGAGAGAGAGAGAGAAAGTGAAGGCAGAGAGATCAGTACTTGAAAGGCCACAGAAATAGCAATAGTGAATTCAGACACGTTTGAACATTGCTTTTAAAATACTTTTTTAATGACCTGTTTTCAATTCCTTCCTTTATATAAGCTGGAACAGAAGGCAAACAGTCTTCTAAATTAATAAATGCCTTTTTAAATAAAATGAAGAGAAGAGGTCAAATTTATTAAGGTGCTCTGTCCTCTCTGCCACCCCACATTTTGCAACATCCACGTGGATGAAAAAGTATTAGAGCCCAATGCCAGGCACTCCCTTGCAATGGGAAGGCTCCTTTGCCTTTAATACATATTTCCTTTATACCGACATAAGAGCATTTCAAAGTACCAGAATCCTTGAACGTGTTCAGTACGTGGATGGGAGGACTAGTTATGGAGGGAAATTCAAACAAATCACTGAAGTTGTGATTATGACATTATCTGCACACTGTGCTAGGGACAGCAGGAATTATAGCATATGGGTCAGACCTAAACCATGCAATTAAGCAACCCACAGTCTGGCTGAGACAGCAATCAGCACTGAAGTGTGCAGCCAAAAATTCTACTTGAAGCTCGGAGGAAGGAGAGACCAAGGTGGAGAAAAAGAGACTTGCAGCTGGAGAAAAAGAGAATCCGCAGATAATATTTGAACTAGGTTTTGAAAGGTAAGAAAAATGTGAGGACAGAGAAAAGTAGGACAGCACCCCAGAAAGAGGAAGTAGAAGGAATAACACGAACTTAACACAGACACATGGGCAATAATTTTAACTAATTAGAGAAGGAAGTGATGCTATACAAGGCATTTTAGCAATTCTTCTTATTTTAGAGATGAAGAAGGTGATAATCAGAAAGTTCAAATAACTTATTCAAAGCAAGTTACATAATTAAAAAGCAGAACTAATACTTGCATCCAGGTCTATAATCCAAACCCACACTCTTTCTGAACCTAGGCACCGCTCTCAACGGAAGTTCTTTTGGATGTTGTTGGAGTATTAAATACCAGCCCAAAGAGAGACACCTGTCATGCTGTGATAAACAACTCTGTCTGCTACATTTTAATTAATATTTTGCTTATGAAGTCTATCTTATGCTACCAGATGTCCCTTTCTTTCTTCGGAAGTAATATTTCATTGATAAGAAAATTAATGCAGAGACTGAAGAGGTATTAAAAAAATTATGATAAAAAATGACCAAACTGGGGCGCCTGGGTGGCTCAGTGGGTTAAAGCCTCTGCTTTCGGCTCGGGTCATGATCCCGGGGTCCTGGGATCGAGCCCCACGTCGGGCTCTCTGCTCAGCAGGGAGCCTGCTTCCTCCTCTCTCTCTGCCTGCCTCTCTGCCTACTTGTGATCTGTCTGTCAAATAAAATCTTAAAAAAAAAAAAAAAAATGACCAAACTAAGTTAAAAAATTAATTTATATGCTTTTGAATGAAATCCACCATTCTCATGTGATAATTCAACATATAACCAAAACTCAAGCATAGAAATTTAAATTATATCCCAATGAGTAGTTTTTCTTTCTTAATCACTTGAACAATACAACACAACGAGAGTATGTCTTCAGCAAGCTCTTACTATGTGTCAGGCACTGGTCTGGGCGTATTACAGAGAACAATTAACCTTCACAACAACCCCAAAGGGTAGTACTTCTGTTATCAGCATTTTCTACACGAAGAAACCAAGGCACAAGAAACTTGCCAAAGTCATTCATGTAAGAAATATGGAGCCAGGCTATGAAACCCCGCAGTCTAACTCCAGAGTCTATGCCTTAGACTATGGGACAGCAATTGTTAACTTTTTCAAAATAAAGCATACCAAAAGAGCAACATCTTGTTGACTTTCCAATCTCTACATAACTGAATCAAAATGCCAGTAACACTGGACTAGTCACCGGTGAGTCTGTAACTCACGGAAGTTCCAGTTCCCACACTCTACATGCTTAGCTCTCTTTAGCAGATATTCCCCAACAAAATGATAAAGAAAGACATTCCCCTCAAATGATGTTAAACCTCCAAAAAGATTAATCTAATTTAGTTAAAAGACCACAAACACGTTCAGACTAAATTGTAAAAATATTAAAGTTTATAAAAATCAAAGTAACACGGAATCAGCAATTTCTCTGAAGGTTATTTATAAGCGGTGCTGTCATGTGCTACCCAGCGTTTTACAGACACTACTATTTAGTGAGGAGGTCTGTGAACAAAACGGACTACACACAAATGAGGGAAAGAGATCCTTCTTTTGGCCTATCTAACCCAAAGCTACTCATTCTTCATATCCACAACAAATTTCAAATCTTCTATAAATCTTCCTCTAATGAGTCCAGCCAACTCAATTTCTAACTTTCCAGAATGTTTAACACTCTCACGGTCTCAGCCATACTGAGATATGTATTAGAAAACAGTGCAACGCAGTAAAGAATGAGGCGTTTTATTATAAGCCATATTGCTTTCCGATTATTTCATGCACAAACGTCTTAATTCTTTGGCTAGTTTATAAGTTATTAAGGTCTGGTACCATAACACATCTGTTTACACTCTCTTCAGGCAATCCAGCATGGAGTCTCTTTAACCAGGCAAAGAACAGGCAGCCAGCAGGCCAAGCTTGATGTTCCAGAAGTTACTATTAAAATCCTGAGGTCAAATATTCAATCATTCAGAGGCGCCTGGGTGGTTCAGTGGGTTAAGCCTCTGCCTTCGGTTCAGGTCATGATCTCAGGGTCCTGGGATCGAGCCCCACCTTGGGTTCTCTGCTCAGCAAGGAGTCTGCTTCCCACCCCTCTCTCTCTGCCTGCCTCTCTGACTACTTGGGATCTCTGTCTGTCAAATAAATAAATAAAATCTTTAAAAAAAAAATTCAATCACTCATTATTATTCAACCTGCTAGGCACCACTCTAGATGTGCTATGAATCTACTGGTGGACATGGTAGTTCATTTCCTCAAGGAATTCATCAGTTCAGTGAGATACATATTTTTTTGAACACAGCTATTTAAAAGAGATGGCAACGAGCACTACTGGAACACGGAAGGGGGAGTCACCCACTCCCTGGAGGAGTCCAGAAAGGCTTCCTGGAGGGAGAACACTTGACCTCAGTCTGGGAGAAGGAGGAGGAAGAGCTTTCCACAAAGTAGAACAAGTACTAGGAGCACCATAGAAATGAAAACACAGCACTTGTAGGAGCAATATGTCAAGGAAATGTGAGAAGTTCAATATGTTGACAAGCAGGGGGCAATGGTGGGAATGAGTGGCAGATACAGTTGGAGGGCTAAGAGCAAGGGGTTCTTAATGTTACCGCCTAAGGAGTTTAAATGTAAGCAATCCCATAGAGGTTTCCAAACACAAAGGAGATACAACTGAATGTGCAATCTGAAGGACAATTATCGCAAAGGCAATGTGAAAACACTAAAGTAAAGACAGAAAGTTGGAGAGATGCGTTTAGGAGTGATCGTCAATAGTTCAGGTAAAACGGTGCTAAGGGTGAGGGAAGCATTAGAGACAGAGAGAAGGGAGGTGCAGTTGAGCTTGAGTGCTGATGACACAAATTGGCTCAATCCATCATTCAAGTACTCACTGTGTCCCTAACTAGATGTGCTAGACTCTGCTACAGATGCTGGAAATAACAGTGGAAAAACAAGATTTCTGCCATCGGGGAGTTTATACTCTAGTAGTTGAGAACTCAACCGTTAATAATTAACAAGTAAACAAATAAACAACACAACTACATACCGGGGGAAGGGCTATGGGAGACACTAGGAGGAGGGTGGGGGCAGTATGTTGGTGGCATCAGAGAAGGGGACATTCCTGGAGCTGAGATTTACAAAGTGAGAAGGGACAACACAACAGAAGCACCTCCCTGGGAGAAGGAGCCACAAATCCCAAATCCATGAAGCTGGAAAAGTCCTAAAATGTTTTTACAAGTCAAAGAAAAGCAAAGACAAGCGTGGTGGAAGTTTGGAGAGAGAGGAGCGGGCACCATGATGGGCGCTCATGTGTGAGGAGGGGATGCGCCTCAAAGTGGAATGAACGGAGGTCCAGAAAGTCAAAAGAAAAAATGAAATGCTCAGCAAAACTCAAGAAAACATGGTTTGAGAATCATGCATTTAAGAGAAAGAAAGAAAATGGCAGTGAGCATATTTTAGCATTCTCATAATGGTCACCAATTGGCATGTTAGCCCAGAGTAGTTGAAAACTAAAAAAGTAGCTTTTGGGGTAGATGGAAGAGAGAAGCAGCCTCTGTCTGGCTACTGTAATAAGTTGCTTATCTCTCATCTGGGGAAAGTTTCTACCTTAAGACCCTCTTTAAGCATATTCTCTGAAAACAAGTTTTGTACAAAGTTAGCAAGCCTAGAAAAGGCTGCCCAAGACAATATACTAGTTTGAAAAGAAGATCTGATGTTTCTCTGTCAACAGACAAGAAATACATGCTAGAACACAACCTTTAAATCTATAGAATGCAAGGATTCATATTCTCCCTCAAATCATTACAAATGTTTGTTCAAATAAGCAAGTCATTTATACATTTTCATATCTTTTAGGGATGCTTAATATTTTAGACAAAGAAACATTCTGAGAGAACCAAAGTGTAGACTGTAATAATGCATATGCTAAAACAGGGTTTGCAAAATTGGAACCTATCAATTAGGAAAAACATTACCAGCTTCCACTTTCAAATTCAGAATATTTCTTAAAATTCACAAATTCTACAGAAGATTCAAAAATAAAATACTATAATGGGGATTATAAGCATTGTATTAGGAAAGGGAAGAGTATTCAATGGACAGCTTAGCATTCCATTGTGCAATGAACAATGATTTAAATACTGCTATATTGATTCCATTTGGAGTTTTAGTAAAGCTTCTTACCCGGAGCCCATGGAATCGAGGATTACTGTAGAAGAGCTTCATCTGTTCGGATGGAAGTGGTCCTAGCACCTTCTGAATAGTAAAAAGTTGGTCAATTTCGCTTTCTCCAGGAAATAAAGGTTGTCCATCGCTAAGCTCCCCAAGAATACAGCCCACTGACCACATATCGACAGACTTTCCATAAGGAGCTCTGAAAGGCAAAGGGAGAAATTGTCTTGGCAAATGAAGAAATACATTTTAATAATTTCCAAATTATTTTGAACAGATTCATAATTTAAAGCAATTCATATATTTAAGGAACTACAAATGAGGCTGAAAAAAAGGAATTATGGATATCCAAGAAAAAATTCAGAGCACAAGTAAATAAAACTATGCTAACAAAACCAACAGTTTAATAATAATTTAGTAGGTATAAATTAAGTTGGAATCTACTCATATCTGGGCAAATCTTGAACATGAATGGCTTAATAAACCCTAATACAGTACACATGTCTGATGAGTTAATACTTCACCTGGAAAATCAAATGCTCCCAAGAAATGCATTTTCTAGGTAATTATCCTTTAGCTCTTAAAATGTCAAAAAGTTATACATCATCCATTTTTTGAGATCAGTCTATTAAAATGTACTACTAACTCAACGCGTCTTCTTAAACAATAAACACTGAGTACTATTTAACTTCCGATTGCCCAGAATCACAATTTCTAATAACTAAGAGTGGGCTAAGCTCTATAGTATTATTTACCGGAAACTATTTGTACCCTGTGTATATGGAGCTTTATGATAACTATTTGCCTCAAAGCATCTTTTTTCCATTTCCTTAGGGGTTTATAGTTCTACTCTAGGATCTAAGTTTAGCAGAGGGCTCTGTTATTAATAAATGGAGGCTATATGTGAAAACCTAAGTACTCCAAAAAAAGCTTTATATGTATGCCCCAATATCTATAGTCTTAAATCAAATTATATGTGGCAGACAAAGAAACCATATTTTATTTAGTTTCAAACACAAGTAATCCAAATTTTAAGAAGGGAAAGCCATGAGTGCCTGGGTGGCTCAGTCGGTTGGGTGTCTGACTCTTGCTTTTGGCTCAGGTTATGATCTTGAGGTTGTGGGATCGAGCCCAACATCAGGCTCCATATAACAGCATGGAGCCTGCTTACTCCCTCCCTGTGCCCCTTCCCCTGCTCATGCTGTCTTTCTTTCTCTAGAGAAAAAAAAAAAAAAAAAAAAAAAAAAAAGTTAAAAGAAGGGTAAGACAAAATAAAGTATTTGAAAAAACCACAGGATGAAATTCTAGAATGTCATAATGATACAGCAGTAATACAAAACTTTTAACAGATACTCTAAATTAAAGCACTGTTAACACTATACAGAAATGTTTCTAGGACAGTAAGTCATTACAACTGAAAGTCAGTATTTTCTTTATCTCATTTCATTCCCACAAAAACCTAAAGGACCATATTAGGAAACTTCATGCACATTTTCTTTTTGTAGCTTGTTGGGGAGGGAAGGATACTGATCTTTCTTTAATACATGTATAAAAGAAAAAACTTGTGCTAGATGGAGAAACTTACAAAAAATCTCTACATACCCAAATCACGCTATTTTTCTTCTGTCAACGGATATGAATAATTTATGCAGCTGGAACTATTTTGAATGTCAAGGACAAAGTCTTAAGAATGTACAAAAATGTAAAATCTTAATATTAACCAACTATCAACTGATTTCAATGGGATTTTTACACAAATAATATGGTTCTTCAACTAGTACTTGACAATCATTTAATTAGCAATATATAATTTGGCCCCAATTAATTGGAGTCCTATCTATTTTTGGTAGCTCCCACACATCTCTAAACATAACTGCAGTTTTCTGACAGGTATTATTAGGCAGCAAATATTCTCTGAAGGTCTATAATAAGGTTGTCCTCAGAATGAACTCATTGGGGCCATCATATAGACAAAATCGTATCATAAAAAGTCCTCTACCATACATGACTCCTTGGATGGTGTTCTAAGAATGATTTACTTCATACTCATTTCTCCTTTGGCAAATCTGCCCAGTAAACTCAAATTCCAAATCCCTCCCCAAAGAAAATGGATTATGCATCTCATTAAGTCCAGACAGAGGTACACAGAAAAAGAAACAAAGACAAACACAAAAGAAAATCAATCAAAAAACCAAGTTTAAAAATTCGCACAGAAATTCTAAAATCTAACCACACAAAGAGAAATAATAAAGTGACTAACCACCATTTGTTTCCCAAGATAAAGCAAGCTTTTGATTAAAAAAAAAAAAAAAAAAAAGTAAAGCTTCCAGTAACTGGTATCAATAATTCTTATACACTCTATGTCAGCAATGAATCAAGAATTACAATCAGATGGTTAACAGACACTGGGAAATTGTGAATATCAAAATAAACCCTCAAGTGAGTAACTTACACATACAGTCATCATGATCTTCAACAAAAACAACAAAAAAACCCACAGAGGGGCGCCTGGATGGCTCAGTGGGTTAAGCCTCTGCCTTCAGCTCAGGTCATGATCTCAGGGTCCTGGGATTGAGTCCCGCATTGTGCTCTCTGCTCAGCAGGGAGCCTGCTTCCGCCTCTCTCTCTGCCTGCTTCTCTGCCTACTTCCAATCTCTCTCTCTCTCTCTCTCTCTCTCGTGTCAAATAAATAAAATCTTAAAAAAAAAAACCCACAAACAGAGAAATTTGTACTCCTACTATATAAGAAGTATCTTTTAAAAATTAAATTTCTCAGGATGTCTGGGTGGCTCAGTAGGTTCAGTGTCTTGACTCCTGATTTCAGCTCAGGCCATGATCTCAGGGTCATGGGATCAAGCCTTGCGTGAAGCTCCACACTCAGTGCAGAGTCTACTTGAGATTCTCTCCCTCTCTCTTCCTCTGCTCCCCGCCCCCACTTGAGCTCTCTTTCTAAGATAAACAAATAAATAAATAAAACCTTTAAAAATTAAATTTCTCATGACCCCCATATATATGTCTTGCACACTAAAGAAATGAAACCTATAATAAGAGTACCAGTCATCATCACCACCATATCTCATTTTATTTGCAGAGTTTGCCTTCTTTCTTCATTCTTGGATGGTCCCCAAGAAGGAAATACAATGTATGGAAAATAAGAAAATACTACAACTAAGGTAATACAGGATTATTCATATAACTATGTAATAGAGTTCAGGAAGATAGGATCCTTCTTAGGTTCTCAAGTTTCTAAAAAGAAGAATCTTAGCAGAAAACCCTTTTCTGGGGTTAACAGATGAGTGAAAGCACTGAAAGTGGAAGGGTGGGCACAAAGTGGATGGATGTGATGTTGCTGAGAAAATCAACAATGTGGTGTGTTTGAGTAGCCATTTATCATCAAACAAGGTTTCTCTATTCAGAAGAAAACTGGCAACTGCTTCAATATTTATACCATGTTTCTGGCAAAGTGGTTAGATATAAGAGACACTTGATAACTGCTTGTTGAATGAATGAATGAATGAATGAACCAACAGATAGGCCAGTCCTCCCAGCAAGAGATCAAGTTTATTTCTTCATCTCTTGAATCAGGGCTTGGCCATGTAACAGGTTTTGGCCAATGAGGTGAAAACCAGGCTAACAGAGGCTTGAAAACCACCTTTGCATTGAGGCTTGCCCAGTTGCTGCAGGGAATTTTTCGGCTATCACATGAAGCCACTTGGACTTGCCCACTGGAGGATGAGTCTCCATGGAACAGAGATGGTCTGTCCCAGCCAAGGCCTCATAAACCAACCATCCTCCAAATGATCTACTGAGTGACTGCAGCTACCTGAGTGATTCCCATTGAGACCAAGAGAAGAACAATCCAGCTGAACTTTAATTACTGACTCCCCCAAATCACTGGTATCCAGAATTGTGAGCAAATAAAATGGAGTTTGTTTTATATCATTAAGCTTTTGGGTGGCTTGTTATACTGCAAGAGGTTAACTGGTATTTAATAAACTAAAGTTCTTATCTTCCATAGATGATCCCAAACCTAATGACATATGATCAGCAGATATATAATGTCATTTTATCTGGGGAAGGTAACTTACCCAAGTAAGAGTTCTGGGGACCGATACCACCTGGTGGCCACATATTCTGTATAATTAGCATTATTGCCTTCTGATAGGTTCCGAGCAAAACCTGAAAGACAGAAAACCCCAAAGGTATAACTGTGAAAAAGAAATAAGAACATCATGTTGGCAAGGTATTTCAGTGCTAGTAGTATTTTAAAGGAATATCAAAAGAACACAATGACTGGTACTGAATGGGCTATTTACTAATGGTCCCTTCGTTATTTTTAAAATATTAGTCCATTCGTATATCAGTTAACATATAGTGTATTCACTAAAAAAACCTGTCTCCTCCTATATTAAAGAAATAGTATTTTTGAAGTCATCACATATAAGCATTCAGAGCATACTTTGGAGTCAGCTCTCTCGATAAATGCAAATCTTAGGAACAAAATGAAGTCCCTACAAGAGCCCAAGTCAAAGCTAAAATACCCTGTCACAGATGGTCATTATATTCTTTTTTTCCCCCAAAAGTTTTTTATTTATTTACTTGAGAGAAGGGGGGGGTCACAGAGAGGGAGAAGCAGACTCCCCATTGAGCAGGGAGCCCGACGGGGGACTCGATCCTAGAATGCCGGGATCATGATCTGAGCCAAAGGCAAACACTCTGAGCCAGTCATTATATTCTGATATGTGGGATTTAACATTAGTATTTGTAGATCTACTGTTGCTGATCAGCTCTAGCCATTATACAGACAACTAATGGTTGGCAATAATGGAAACTAAGCAGGCCAAAATTATTTTCATCTCCTAATATGACAGAGAAGCATATTAGGGGTACCTTAATTACTTACAGACTCTATCGATAATTATTTTCCCTCCAAACCCTTTCAAAAGATTTTGGGGCCAAAAACTAAGCCAGCAGGTAAGCTAATTACCCACCTAACACACCAAAAGCATTATGGATAGTCAGAGAGAACCAGAACATTAAAATTAGGGGTAAAACATTAGAGTAAAAAATTGGAAGAAATATTCCTATTTTCAAATGGGATTCTTCAAGATAGACAAAGGAGCCCAGTACTATAGAGGGAAAGCAGTTGAGACGTGATCACTGGGGACGCATAGGGTACAAAGAACCACATGCAGTGCAGCCATGTGAAATTTCCTTACCACTTCAAATTGTCTTTCCTTTAAAAAATGATGCCGGGGGTGCCTGGGTGGCTCAGTTGGTTAAGTTTCTGACTCTTAATTTTGGCTCAGGTCATCTCAGGGTCCTGGGGTCAAGCCCTGAGTCTGGCTCCGTGCCCAGAGGGAAGTCTGCTTGAGAATTCTCTTTCCCTCTCCCTTTGCCCCTACACACACACACACACACACACACACACACTACCCCCCCATAAATAAATAAATAAATAAATATTTAAAAAATAAAAATAGAAAAGAAATGATGCCACATCAGGGATACCGTCCCCTATTATTAAACATTCTATAGGCAACATATTTGTATTTACAATTTGTTTACAAATTTCAGTAATTTCGGGGTTTAAGCAGATCATCAACCCACAGAATCATGGATACATAGTAAAGGAAGCATGAGGTGCACAAAATCTCAGTATTTGATGGTAGTCACCATTATGGATAGGAAGCAAGAAATAGAACCAGAAATATTTCTGAAAATCATAATACTAAGAAAGTGCTAAAAATGTCAAGGTCAAAATCTTTTAAACAGCTGTATTTCGATATTTCTTTCTTATTCTTCTAAGCACTTCATAAGATATAGCAGGACTTGCAAAGAAGACATCCAAATGGCCGACAGACACATGAAAAAGTGCTCAACATCACTCGGCATCAGGGAAATACAAATCAAAACCACAGTGAGATACCACCTCACACCAGTCAGAATCGCTAAAATTAACCAGCCAGGAAAAGAACGACAGGTGTTGGTGAGGATGCGGAAAAAGGGGAACCCTCCTACACTGCTGGTGGGAATGCAAGCTGGTGCAGCCACTCTGGAAAACAGCATGGAGGTTCCTCAAAAAGTTGAAAATAGAGCTACCATATGACCCAGCAATTGCACTACTGGGTATTTACCCTAAAGATAAAAATGTAGTGATCTGAAAGGGCACGTGCTGCCCAATGTTTATAGCAGCAATGTCCACAATAGCCCAACTATGGAAAGAACCTAGATGTCCATCAACAGATGAATGGATAAAGAAGATGTGGTCTACATATATACAATGGAATACTATGCAGCCATCCAAAAAACAAAAACAAAAAAACGACATCTTGCTATTTTGCAACGATGTGGATGGAACTACAGGGTATTATGCTGAGAGAAATAAGTCAATCAGAGAAAGACAATTATCATATGATCTCTCTGATATGAGGAATTTGAGAGACAGAGCAGGGGTTCGTGGGGGAAGGGAAGGAAAAATGAAACAAGATGGGACTGGGGAGGGAGACAAAACAAAAGAGACTCTTAATCTCAGGAAACAAACTGAGGGTTGCTGGCGGGGAGGGGGGGTAGGAGGTATGGGGGTGCTGGGCGATGGACACTGGGGAAGGTATGTGCTATGGTGAGTCCCGTGAATTGTGTAAGACTGATGATTCACAGACCTGTGAAACAATAATACATTATATGTTAATAAAAAAAAAATAATGCAGGACTCTTCTTTGCAATATTCCCTATAAATAGTATAAAAAAATTTAAGTCCTACAAAACATTTTTTCTCAGGCAAGCAGGTTCATAATATTCAAATTCTTTGCAAACACTAAGGGAAAACAGTTACACTTTCTTCTAACAGCCACACTGGAGAAAAGTGGTCCTTCACACAGTGCGTTCTTAGAAGGCTTCTATTTCTCATTTGTTCAATCCACCTCCGAGGTACTAATCTAACTTTTGCTTATGAAAGGAGATGAATTCTCACTTATATATAAGAGTTTACATTATACTTACTATTATACTTGAACATATGAAAAATAACATTAAGTCAAGTTGTTATTTTTCAGCATACAGATTAGACAAAAGATTTTTTAAGTGACTCAGAACTTAAGCATCCTAATCTATAGTTTTAAAACTTTCCTGAATTATTTCAACTTTAATTTTTAATAGCACTTAATACAGTTATATATATATGGAAACGAATGCACAATTTTCTACTAGGAGAGAGTACAATTCAAAAGCTTCCTTATAGGGGCACCTGGGTGGCTCAGTGGGTTAAAGCCTCTGCCTTTGGCTCAGGTCATGATCCTAGGGCCTTAGGATCGAGCCCCGCATCAGGCTCTCTGCTCAGCAGGGAGCCTGCACTCCCCCCACCCCTTTGCCTGCCTCTTCCGCCTACTTGTGATCTCTGTCTGTCAAAAAAAAAAACTTTAAAAAAAAAAAAAAAAAGGGGGGTTCCTTATACACTCAACCAGGAGATGGAATATTAAACATCAATTACTAATCTCATTCATTGAACATTTAAAGGGAATAAATGGAACTGCTCTAAAAATGTCTTTGACGTTTATAGGTATGTAACCATTGCACATGCATGATACATATGTATTTCCCTATGCATATTGTTAGTTTATGATCATACCTAAAATAATTTCTATCAATGTTTAAAATACCTCAAAAATATTCTTTTATCGTACCCAAAACAGAAGGCATAGTAGTGTTTCATAGAAAACTGGTTTTTTGGAATCATTAAGTACTGGGTTTATGAATATATACACATGCATCTATTTGCTTTGCATTCTCATTAAACAAATACTGCATTATGAATTTTTAAAAAGAGTAGACAACACTATGCAAAGAGTGTACAGTATTTACCTAACCATCCATTTTTCAACACATGACCCAACAGAATATTGCTCTGCTAACTGAAGTCAAAACATAAAAAAACAAAACAACCCTTTTAATAAGCCTTTAAAAGTTACCTATGTGTTATATTAAATTAATTCTACTTACAGGGCTCAATTTCTTTTTAACTTACCAAAATCACACAGTTTCAAAACATCATTGTGGCTGATTAAGAGATTTTCTGGCTTTATATCTGAAGTATAAAGATGAAAAAACAATTATTAAAAAATGTTCCATGGTCTGCTGATTGACACTACTGGATCACTATAATGGCATCTAATTAGAAATATCCAGAGTAGGGGCGCCTGGGTGGCTCAGTGGGTTAAGCCTCTGTCTTCAGCTCAGGTCATGATCTCAGGGTCCTGGGATTGAGCCCTGCGTTGGGCTCTCTCCTCAGTAGGGAGCCTGCTTCCCCCCCCACCCCGCCTGCCTCTCTGCCTACTTGTGATCTCTCTCTGTGCGTTAAATAAATAAATAAATAAAATCTTAAAAGAAAGAAAGAAAGAAAGAAATATCCAGAGTAATATGAATAGAAACCTGTGACAGGGAAAAGCAGGGTAACACATTTTTTGCTGATTCATAAAAGTTTCAACTAATTTTTTTTTTTTTTTTTTTTGAGAAACAGGAAGACCCACAATGTAAAAAATATTTTTCCCTTTAAATTGTAAAGGTATTAATGTGATCTCGGGAAGGAATTTAAGAATCATTGAATCTAGGTCACCACATTTCAAGGAACTATTCTACTTTATAAAGTACTAGTAACATAAGTTTTTCGAGACAGAATATAAAATTTTCAGAGATAGAATATTTTAAAAATGTTCACACCCACAAGATAACTTAAAAACACATATAAGTACCTAGCATTATATTTACTAGAGGAAAAACTACATAAAAATTAGAATTTGTTGTGATTTTCTATATAATGTCTATATTTACATATCTCTTTAGCTTTTCTGTGTGGTTCATAATTATAAATGTGTAATGCCGAAGTTATACTGGATGAGTCAAGACAAGATTTCTCATTTTTTCCATGGATCTTCAGAAGATGTGGTGGGAGCTGAGTAGAAACATACAGAAAATGCTATTTAATTCCTGCTTTGGGAGGCATCTCACAATCCTATTTTTAGAGTACCTATCATCTGTATCAGATGGCAGAGGTAAAAATGGAAAAAGGGAAGACAGGAGGAAAATCTGAAGATTTCAGAATCATGGTTTCTACTGCTAATTCACAATCATTGATTTATTACCATATACTTAACCAAATCACAGCAACACTTTAGAAATGCAGCTATATCAGTTCCGTATTAATAGCTTCATATTGTGGTATAGATTGCTATTAGTATCATTACTCTAGACACTAGACATGTAGTTGACTTGGAGATCTCTCTGTACCACCAACAACCTGGATAAGGTAAGTGATATGAAAGTCAAATCCAAAAAATATATAAAATGTCTTTTTCTAAATATACTAGGAGTTGGCATTTTTCACATGACCTTTAAGCTATTCTTAAAGTGAGACTATTTTTAAAGTGATATGTTTGTGTGTTTGTATAGGTAAATTAAAATGAGGTATTCATTTATCTGATAATTCAGAGACAAGAAGTAGATATTGTAACATTTTCTGATAAACATCTTCTGGCTCCATTATTTTATCAGTATGTATCCCATTACTGTAAAACTCTGGAATTCAAGAGAGCTTATCAGGAGAAGATAAATAGTGTAGAAGCAAAAACCATGCTGAGAAAGTAATTTCCCCTTTAGTACTATAAACTACCCACCACACAGCAATAAAGGACAAAATATTAACAGTTTATGGAAGCATACACATGACATTTATGCAAGGTTAATCATGCCTACAACTTGCAACGGGCTCTTCTCATTAATGGGTAGGAAAATTCAAGAATTGAATTTGGTATATATACCAGAGGTGGTTGGTTTAAGAGGGAATGGGAGGTGACTGTCAATGGGGGTCAGTGACCACCTTTAAAGCCTTATTCTAGGTGGTTTCACATTTTCTGGTCTACCAGCAGGACCAAAAGGCAACAGAGAACATCTCTTTGTTCTTTTTACCCAAGGTAAGCTTCAAAATTCCTATTTGTTGAGTTCTTTATATATATCCCTAGGCATTTCTAAAGTTGAGAATAGACCTGGTTATACAAACAGAGATCTCACCATAATATCCAAATAAACTTGCAATCCACCCTTTTGGTGATACAAAAGGAGACTTGGAAGGTGAACGACATCTCATATCCTGTACTTTCAAAATGTATTTAATTTAAGTGGAATGTCAGTGCTCATAGAAATACTCTTAAAACAGTAATATGTAAAATATTTCAATGTTAACTCTGAGGTTTTCTTAATATTTTTCATTTCAAAAATTGCATACTTACCTCTATGTACAATATCATTCTTATGGCACCAGTGAATAGCTTTGATTAACTGATAGATATAACTTTTAACTTTTTCAGGTGGAACTCCATTTGGCATTTCTTCCAGCAATTCAAGCATATTCTAAAAATTAAACAGGGAATCATTAATCTCCACAAATAAGGTAGACCCATAAATCATGTATTAACAATTTTAAAAAGCATCTTAGGGGCGCCTGGGTGGCTCAGTCGGTTAGGCATCTGCCTTCGGCTCAGGTCATGATCCGGGGTCCTGGGATCGAGCCCCACATTGGGCTCCCGGCTCAGTGGGAAGCCTGCTTCTCCCTCTCCCACTCCACCTGCTTGTGCACCCTTGCTCTCTCTCTCTCTCTCTCATAAATGAATAGAATCTTAGATAGATAGATAGACAGATAAGCAAGCATCTTGGATGAAAATTCACCCAATACATGCATGCATTTTCAACAACTGTTTTGCTTTCCACCTACTATCTTTTTCATGCAGAAGCAGAATACTGTATTAAATCAAAGTTCTCTTTTAAGAGAAATTCCATTTTTACTACTCCCCAGTGCTTCCCCAAATAATAACCTTGGCACTTTCCACTCTCTGTAAAACCTTTCAGGCATCACTTCAGAATAACTTCAAGGGAAAAGCAATACAAAGTAGAGATAAGATGCTGTAATGTAAAAAGGAGGGGGGAAACAGTCATTTTAACACAGCCTCCTATGTATGTTTACTAGAACCTTGTAATAAAAATCAGGCCTTGAAAATATTTCTTGAACACCTGGAAAATATTCTTAAAAGAAAATGCTCCCTAAGATTAGGAGTGATCCATGCAATCAGTACAAAAATTAAGACAGGCCAGAAAATCTTGCTGAAATAAACATTGACAGACTCCCAACAAACCAAGTTCTGAAACTCTTAGTCTGGAGTCTAAAATTCATGTAAAATTTTTTTATTAAGTAGAAAATCCACTTAACCAGTCTCCACTGAATTTCCAGATTAACCACCCATTTCCCATTGCCTCTGTAGGTACAATACTAAGGTCCACAGCATGATTAGAGTTTATTGTTTGTAGACGACCATCTAAGAAAGCAGGTCTCAAAGTAGGATCTGTCGATCTCTTGGGGGTGGTTACCAGATCTTGCAGAAGGCCCATAAAGTCAAAACTATATTCATAGCAACACTCAGCTCGTTGGCTCTTTCACTGTGTTTGTATTTACACCGATGACTCAAAGCAAGGATGGGTGAACTGGGGGCACCTTAGCATAAATCAATGCTATATGCTCGCAGTTTAAAAAAAATAAAAAGACGAAAAGCCAGTTTTAGTTGAGGATGTCTTTCTTTGATGAAGCAGTAAAATTATTGCTTGTATTAAATTTCAACTTTTGAGTAGGTGTCTTTTTAGGAATCTATATGGTAAAATGAAGAATACACACAAAGCACTTCTGTTACATAACAAAGCAAGATGGTTGTCTTGAAGAAACTCACTTGCGTGATTGAGTTGCAAGCTCAACTAGCTGCTTTTGGCAGAACACCGTTTCTTACTTGAAAGAATGACCCACAACCATATTTATGTTAACAGGTAATGGGATTATTATTGTTATTCCTAAATGAATTAATAATTTATATTGCTCAGTTTTGACTCATAATATGATAAATATTAACAGATAAAACCCACATATATAATAAGCTCTAAGGCTTTCCAATAATGTTAAGAGTGTTGGAGTTGTAAGACCAAAGAGTTCGAAAACCTGCTTGTGCTAACACAACCTCACAGTTTTGTTCCCACCAGTTGAGCTGCATACACACAATCAGTTGTTTGTTTATAACACTCTCATACCTATTTATAACCGATGCACTTGTTATTTTAATACAATTAAATATCATATAAACCAATGAAATAATGTTTTAAATAAGGAGAGTTGCTGTTTATCAGAAAACAAAGTTTAATACTTTGGAAAGACTTAATGAAGGAAAGCCACTAAACATACTGCTGCCTCATCAAATGTGAGCGCAACCGTAAACGCCGGCAGGGGACAGTGGTGATGCGATAAGGATCCTGCACTGAGACTGCTTCATAATACTTTTAAGTTTTGCGTCACTTTAAAGATGCTCTCACAGGCTATCAGAGTTGTTGCATTGTGGGTATGATGTGCTTAAGAAAGACTCATCAGAACTCCAATAAGAAGACAGATACTCGAAAGGCCCTGACCCTACCCCAAAGAGTAGTAAATGAACATACATTGATATATTTTAAGTTAAAATGTCTGAAGCATGTATGCATCATTTTTTAATGATTCACCACTTAAACTGCCATTTTCAACTAACAAATGCATAGGAGGTCCCAAATGGACCATAGGAGGTCCAAATGAGGAATAAGACGGTTTTGCAATATAGAAAATAAACTGTATGTCTCATTTCATATTACACTCTAAATTCAGTGGCTGGGAAGAATGTCCCTCAATATCCATTCTTCCTTTAACCCACAGTAATACAATTTGTAAGTGGATGCACAGGTGTTCAGAATGAAGAGTACATTTCCCCTCTGCCTTGCAGCTAGGGTGGCTATGAAACTAAATCCTGGCCGATGGAATGTGACAGCTGGAGCTTAATCTTGACCTTGAGAACAAGGGCAACATCTCAGGGGCGGTAGAGCAGAAAGGCAGACGAAACTAGGTCTCCTATGGCTACAGAGCAGAGTCACCATACCAGGTACCACCTACCTTTGTATTTATATGTGAGGAAGAAGGAAATATCTATTTGTTTAAGCCACTGTCGTCCTGTATCTCTAACAACCCCCTACCTTTGAGAGCATCACTTTCCTGCCCTCTTGAGACTCTATTAATCGTTAGGCACTGCCGCTGATGGGAGGTCACCTTCCACTGAAAAACCACAGGGTCAGGGCAAGAACCCAGGCCTAGAGGGACACATATGGGAGCTCTGGGAGCAGCCCTGCCACTTAACAGCAAAGAGATCTCAGACATACAAACTGGTACACAGAGGTGATTTCCCCATTTGTTCCTATTAAATTGTTATTAATCGTGAACTACCACCCTGAGCAGAACAGAAATTTAAAAAAGACAAACTGAAATAGATCTGTCAGAATTTCATTACTTGGCAGTGAAAACTGCAAACTGCACGATTATTCTTGACAACTAAAATATAATATAAAGAGTTTCTGATTTTTACAACAGTCCTTTTTTATAACTTTTTGAGAAGTATTAAATTTCAGTTTAATTTTGGTGGGGAAGGTCCCTTAGGAAAATACCTAAACTGACACAGGAAAAGAAACCTTAAGGGGCGCCTGGGTGGCTCAGTCGCTTAAGCATCTGACTCTTGATTTCGGCTCAGGTCATGGTCTCAGGGTTGTAGGATCGAGCCCCGTGTCGGGCACCACGCTATGAGTGCAGCCTCTCTCTCTCTCCCTCTTCCCCTACCCACCCCGTCAAAAAAATAAAGCTCTGTCGTCACTTAAAAAAAAAAAAGAAAAAGAAACCTTTAAGCAGATTTTGGAAAAGATACATAGAACAGTGTTTTAAAATGACAGAGAAGCTTATAATACTCAAGTTTTGCTTGAAATGAAGTTGCTATGTCTATTTACTTTCATTAGAAAAATAATTTGTGAAGGCTGAATTAAGTCAAAAGCCACATTCCTGGTCCACCACCTTGGCAACATTGTTTTCTATTTTGTAATGGTGACGGCGGTGATGACACTGTCATTTACGGCACAGAAAGCAGCTGGTAAACAAGTCTCTCCAGTCTTCACCTTCTTCAGAAAGCCTCATTTTATAATTCAGAATTTTCTCATTGTATCATGCACATTCCTAAAAAGACATGTACTCCAGAAGTGAAATTTAATAAAAGTAATAATTTTTCCTGTTGTTTTGGCAACAGGAAATCCGGAGCCACATACTCGTTCATCAAGGAAACCTCTAAAAGGTCCACCTGGCTCCAGTTTATTCTTGTTAAGGTAATTATTTCAGTTTTGGACAATAACCAACCACTGTAGGGCAGCTGCTCTCAAAGAAATTCAAAGACATACGTATTGATTACTGTAGCATACACTTGCCCCTGGGCCACATATCATTAAAGTGGTCACTAATAGTTACCAATTTAAAAAAATTTAAAGCAAGGATGCTAACAACTGAACTGCGTATACTTTTCCACTTTTCTCCCATGCTTCCAATTCCTTAGGTGCGGCCGCATCTACCTCCTCATGCCTCACCTTATGCCTCCTGGCACATCTCTTTCCCTTAAAGCCAAAGCACAGGCAATTCACAAAAGGCTGCTCCATGAGCCCACTCATTCGCCACTCTAGGTCGGATTTAGGCAGCCATCCTATGCTGGCAGGCTGCCTTCCACACCTCTGTCATCCTAGGTCATCACTGTCAATTTACTTGTCTCTCTCTCAGAGGCCTTGCCTAGGTTTAACCTAAATGAACCAAGTCTAAAAATTACTTGTTGAACACAGATTCTAAAACATCAGAAGCCAAATTAATTCACTGTTGAAATGTAAGATGATCTCTGTAGAGTTAAATTACACAAAATACTTCAATACATTTTAGGGCTTCTAATGATTATGGATAATAATTTCATTTTTAAAATACCAAGAGTTTGAGTACATTGACAAATCACACTAGATAATAATACTTCCTTGAATACTGCCAGAAACAACCCTAAATTAAAAAATCAGGCAGGGGCGCCTGGCTGGCTCAGTTGGTAGGGCATGCAACTCTTGATTTCAGGGTCATGAGTTCAAGCCACATGCTAGGTGTAGAGATTATTTAAAAAAAAATAAAATAAAAGTTAAAAAAATCAGGCAAATCTCCACACTATCAATTAGTGACTTACTTTTTCAACATACTCAAACACCAAGTACAATTTCCCCCTTCGACGAAAGGCTTCCTTCAGCTCCACGATGTTTTCCTGCTTGAGAGTACGAAGCATTTTAAGCTCTCGTAAAGTCGTTTCCTTGACTTCTTCATTTTCTAGAATGTAAACAATGGTGAATAGAGTAAAATTAAAGCTTTCAAGCTACTGTTCAAAAAATTCTAACAGTGAAAATATACCAATTTCCCTTTCCACTTGGAGTACTGCATAAGGAGTTCAAGGATGGAAGATTAAATATCACATTTTCTTGTTGAAAGGATCAAGAATTAGCATCTTACAGAAGAAAAGGCTTACTTGACCAGCATGCACCTAATTTTCTGCTTGTGTTTTCTTATACTCTGTATTGCAAAGTGTATGTATGAATACATATCGACAGATATGACGTATAAACCCACTGTCCTTTTCATTCTAACACTACACACTGAGAAAGAAGGAGTGTAAGAGGGTAAGAAGGAATCAGCTCTACCAGTGTGCAGAGGAGCCTCTATGCAGCATCTGTTGCAGCTGATGTTTTTAACTTTGGCCTGTAGTTTTGGCTTAAAAGAACATTTTATTCTTCAGGCTGCACGCGAGTCACCTCAGTGAGCAGAGGTCACATACCAGGCACCCACAGTGCAGCTCACAGTCAAGCTGCAGGGATTTCTAAGAGTGTCTGATCTCTCTGAATAGCAGCTGCTATAGGTTCCTGCTGTCTTCCTGTGGCATGTCCGTCTGTCCACCCCAGATGGTGTAGCTGTACTGGGATGCGGAACTTACGCCGAACCAATACAGCCTCCCATATCGTCAGCTTCACCCATGATAGCCCCCACAGGCATGGAGAAGGACGGAAATCACATTAACTCTAATGGAGGAACTGGCAGGGGAGAAGGAAAGGAATACTTTATTTTAAAAGAGTTTTTACGATACCTTCAGATTTAGCCCAGAAATTCTAACTACTATGTTCACATATACACATATAGGTGTGCACACACGCAAGACTACGGTTCATAATCCTTTATCTCCAACTTCAAAAATCAGTCTAAAAACTGAACACTTCTTCCAAGTTTATGGCAAATCTCCTCAGAAGTAAAACCTGAACTGACACGAGACCACTTATATTCTTTGTTTAGCCCACTTAGTATGTGGGATATGTTTATTTTATGTAAAATATGTTTACTTTAGAAATAGTACCTGATTACAAGGTGCTAAAGTAGCATGCCATATTTCCATTCTAAAACCCCAAAGTTATAAATTCTAAAACACATTTGTCCCCAAGGTTTGGGGTCATAGTCAAAATCCTAGCTTGAGAGTCTAAGTTTTGTGAGTCTCAGGTTCAGTCATATCTAACCTCCCTCAGGTTCAGGGAAGAAGAAAATGGAGTTTGGGGATTAAAGTGAGAAAGATGAAAATGTCTTCTAGAGACAAATGCTTCCTAAGCAAGATACACAAGAGAAAAGGGGCTGAATCTTCCCTCCAAATGGGGGAGGGAAGATTCTAAATCAGGAGCCAGGAGTACTTTTCAGATTATTTTCTATCCCAGCCCATTTCTTAGCCTCTGTTCAAACTGAGTTTCAAGAATAAAGAGATAGTAATAAAAACAGGGGCTTTGTAGCACCACAGTATCTGTAATAAACAGGGAACATAAAGTCAACACTCCTTTGAGAACAGTTACACAAGTGAAATATCTTCTTTATTTCAGCAAAAACAACTGTTGGGGAATGCTGGAGCAGAGATTAGAAAAGGACAGATAAAGATACTGCCTATCAGAAAGCAAGAACTAGCAGTACCAAGGCCAACAGTGGCATAAGCAGTGAGCCAGCCCAGTCCACACCAGGGGGGAGGGGGGTTAACGGGGAACTGAGGACTCACAGCCGCCCTCCCCTCGCCCAGTCACGGGAAAAGAATGTGACACAGTGGGGGCCACCTGGCAATAGGGGGAATGTACGAGATGTGATCAGGGATTTCCCAAAGTGGCTTAGAGGATTGTGGAGGGACAGAGGTCCAGCTGTTTTGCAAACTGGGGCTAAGCCAGAGACGTGGTGTTCTGTGACTTTTAGAACTCTAAAACGTAGGGAACACTAAAAAGCCTTTAGTGTTATGAGGTAGGTTCACCTGCTTCTCCACTACCCCATCTGGTTTACTCTCAAGACTGGGGTTATCAAACTGAAGTTCACCTATCTCTAATACACAGAATGCCACACAGGTTTCAATACAAAGCAAACAATCTTCTAACAAGGCAATAACTCAATACAGACAAGTACACTGATTACTCATGACCTGGTTCCTGTCTGCTTTTCCATCCCCATCTCATGTCCTTCCTTCTCCTCCCTCACGTTAGTCTTTCAATTCCCAAAATAGCTCCAACGTTATTCTTTCGAGCTTAGGGCCTTTGAACTTGTTCCCTCTGCCTGGAACTGACATTCTACAACTCAGACTCCTTACAGGGCTGGCTCCTCTTCGGGTTTCAGTTTAAATAGTGCTCCTCACGAGCTTTGCCCAGATCACTAGACCAAAGCAGGCTTCCATCCCTATTATTCCTTATCATTCTACTTTGAACTTTTCTTTCACAGACCTTCTCACCATTTTTATTTATAGATTGTTTTGCTTACAGGCGGCTACCCCTGCTAAACTAAGAGCTCTCAGAGGACAGGCCCAAGTTCTGCTATTCAACAATACACACTCAACCACCTAGGACTGCGCCTGGCACAAAGAAGGGATCAATGAATACTTCTGACAAAAATGAGGAAATCTTCACTCGTATGTGGCTAGCTCTCATTCATGGGAGGCAGCAACGTGATGGCAAGGAAGAGGCACTTCGTCCTCTCAGTTTTGAGTACAATGCTTTCCATCTTTTCTCTAGAAGGTTGAGAAGGGCAGCTTTTCAGGCAGGAAGACAAACTAAATTCATTTTCCCCTATTCATCTCCATGCCTGGTTGTCTTCTGCAATATGTGATTATAAAATAGGGAGCTTCAAAAAAACTGAAAGGACTAAGGGTCAAGAACACATATATATTTAACCATTCATTAACAACATCCGTAAGCTTTGCTGGAGCTGGGTACAAATGAATGTTGCAACTAAGTCAAAAGTAAATACAGCTGGTGTATCTTTTCTAGTCAAATGCTTGGTGAATTCTTGGCACCCAAAAAGCAACTGAAACAAGGGAGCTTTGTATTATTAGCAACTTGGGGCAGTTTCATTTTGCGAACAGATAGAGCCACCTCAGAATGGCTGAAGTCGAACGGCTTTAGAAGGAACCCTGGAGCAGGATTTGGAAGACCTGGAGTTTGGATCCTGTTAATGAACCAACACTGTGAAATATGATGTTGGGCAAGCCACTTAACTTTTCATTCATAAAGTAACTAAGTAAATGGGCACCCTCCCCACCCACACAGACCCTAAAAAACAATCCCATGGCTTTTTCCAAATCTAATAACCAATGATTTCTTTCCATTAAAATCTCATTGATTATGAGCATAAACCTCCCTGGATTTTGCTACTCTATGATATAGACATCATTCAAATCTATACCAACTCTACATAAAAATGGCTAAAGAAGAAAGAGAAATGAATCTTTGAAAAGCAGCTCACAAAATCACCTAGCATATGGGGCCCAAACCACCTCATTTGAGCTGCCTGTCTATTTTAGGAAATGAAGGCTTCTCTAATGTATGCCTGTCACAGATATTAAAAGTTGAAGCAAGCACTTTGGCACTAAGAATGTAATGAATGGGAACAGGCAGGAAGTGGAGTTACTAATTCCCTAAGTGCAAGCAAAATGCACACTCTTCATTACTTGGTCTATCCTATTATTTTTGTTTCTTTAAGTACTTTCAAGGCTCCTGGCCTACCCTGTACTTGGACAAAACTGTGACACTAAATGATGAGATAATGGGGAAAAGCAATACACATTGTACGTACACATGCTTCTCACCTCAGGTTCAGAAAGCAGCCAAGCTCTTCAGCGAAGCATTGTTTAAAAGTGGTAGCACAGCCTACTGCCAGGAGCACAAAAAATCCCTACCTTCCAGTTGAAATAATCCTGCAGATTCTTTATTTAGGCTAGGCTTTCTCCAGTTTACAAATGAAGAAACCACATCTAGAAAGAGTAACTTCCTCAGGGTGAGTGAAGGGTATGCCACACTGAGTAGAAGACAGGGACGTAGGCAACATGGTATAAGGCAGTGAGCAAGCTTTAGAGAACGAGTCCGAACACCCAAGTTCAGGTCTGCACTCTGCTACTGCTTAGCTGAGTGGCAAAGCAACATGGTATGTGTTATGGGTAGAAGAAAAACTCGACAAAGATCTTGAGGTCTGCATCTTTCCCAGTTAATTACATACTACCTGTGCAGCTTTGGGCCTTGGATTCCTTGGCTGTAAACCGGAGCTGGACTTTTCCTAGATGATTCTGAAGGTCCTTCCAGCTCTAAGACCTGGTGCTTCCATGCAAGTCATACTTATGTACATGTCAATGGACCTGGTCCTCAGTTACCAGTGAGGGTGTATGGCTTAGTACAGGCAGCAAGTCTGACAATGTTACATAAATTCTTTGGAGTGATGATTAAATGGCAGGGTAGAAAAAGGACGGTAAATAAGAAAGAAACAAAGAACTAACCTACTTTTAGCTCACCAGTCAGACAAGTTAACACACTAAAAATCAAGAAGGGAGATTCACTAAAGTAAAAGAAAACAATTTTTAAGGAAAAAAAAAAAAACCACAGCAGTGAAAGAAATGCAAAGTAAGTAATAGAGAAAAATCTAAAGATGAGCAGAAACTCTATTGTAACTCTATTTTTAAGGAACTGTGGTCTCAGAAAAGAAATCCAGAAATAGCTGTAACCTACTTTATGAAATCACAAACCTGACATTCTTATATAGCCAAAGAGGCCCCCCAAAATGGACCTTTAAGTGGATACAAAGGAGGAGGAAAAAAGCCAACCCATCTTTGTGCAAAACCGTAAGGGTACCGTATTTGAGTCTGGTTGCCCTGACTAAAGAAGGAATACCGCCAAGAAAGTAATTAACTTGGCCAAGGGGTCTGAATGGCGGTACTGCTACCATATATACCAAAAAAAAAAAAAAAGATGAAAATCCTTAAATCTTCAGCAATGAAGACTGGG